AGCAGGGTGGGCACCCAAATTGTTGCGGCTTTATGCTCTGCACAGAGGTGGTGTCCTCCAAGCCAGAACAGAGACCCTGACTTGGCCCTGCCACAGGGGATCCCCCAAGGCTGCCTTGAAGACTCAAGCAAAGGACACAGATGTAAACACTAGCAGAGGAGGACCCCATAATGCACTTACTGCCCCTGTAGATGGCATGAGGGGAGACAATTCAATGAGTTCTTTGAGTTCAATAGAAAGCTAGAAAGCCTGGCTTTTTCACTTGTTTTAGTTACAAGAAGAAAAGCAAAATTTTGTAAACCTTTTTTGAGAGCTGTGGGCCTAACTCTCCATCTTGTAGGGGCAGCTGTCTCCAGGCTGGGCAAGACCCTGTGGGGCAGGGCCTTGTGTCTGTGCCTGGGCTGGGGGTGGACAGGGCATGGGAGAGGTGCTAGAGGTTGGAGCCCTGTGGCCAGAGAGAAGTGGACCCTGTCTGGTTCCAGGAATACACGGAGACGGGATGTCCAGGGTGCTAAGGGGCCCAAGGGTAGCTCTGCTGAAGAGGAACTCTGGTTTAAGGACCATCTAGACCAGGGCTGGGCCAAGTCCAAGGAGGCCAGGAGGTTCTGCACCCACCCTGGCACATCCCCCACCCCACCAGAGCCCGCCATGGCCTCCCACATGGAGTAGGGGGTCCTCTCCCAGCTACCCATTCCCAGACCTCTCTTCTCTGTCGTTTTAAACACTGCCTGCTGTTCAGTTAAACAAGGTGCAGTGGGACCTGATGGCCTGTTTTTGGAACCACAAGAGAGAGATTCATGTGTCTTCATGAAATGCAGCCATTCCTGTCACTGAAGGAGCACTGTACTACAGGCCTTACAGACAAAAATAAAACTCTGTGCTAAAATGTACTGTCCCATGAACAGGGACGTGACTGGCAGAGGGCCAACACCAGGTGAGGATAAGCAGGCAGAGGGCTTCCTGTAAATGAGGGGAGCACAGGCTACCTCCACAGCCCCAGACCTGCTGCCTCCCCACTCCTGTCCTGGCTGCCACATACCCAATTCGGGGTGTTCCCTCACTAAGGGCCAGGGTCATAGACAGAGGACCTCAGCCCTGGGTCCCACAGACTTGGGCCCAACTGTAGCATCACCTCCCAACAGCTCATGTCCTCAGCAGCCCTCTTCACTAAGCTCAGCCCCCATGAGTAATGGTCTCCTATTCTGCTCCTGTCTCTGCCAGCCCTGACAGAGCCTCCCTCCCTAGACAACTGTGAAGAACCCCTCAAAGACCCCACACCCTGCAAGTCCAGGAGAGAGGACAGCCCTACCCACATGCCACACTGAGGAGGCTGCTGTCATTAAAGCTCTGCAGTGTTGCCTGGGGGAGATGGCCTGGTGGCCCCCCAATCCAGGCCAGGGGAGTGGGGAAACGGCCAGGATGCAGGGTCCCGCAAGGATCACCTTGACTGAAGCAGATAGGTCTTGGGTATCCCCAACTCAGGTGGAGCCCTCTGCATCCCAGGTCCCTCACTTGCCCTGTATAGGAAGCAGTGTCCCTGGCCTCTGAGGAAGCCAGCAGACCTGGAGAAAGAACAGTGGGCAGGGAAGGAAGGGGGACACAGGCAGAGCAGGCTAGCCCTGGTGCCACACAGGGCTCAGACTAGGACCTCAGAAGGGGAGACCAGAGAGGAAGGAAGGGAAGGGTTGGGGTCAGCACTGGCCTACAGCTGTACTCCGGGCCCTGCTTCTGTCTGTCGATGCATACCCAGGTGTCCCTGTCCCTGGAGAAGTTGACCTGAGTCAGAACAGCAGGGGATCTGCCTGAGACCTGTTCTGAGCCTGGAACCTGGCACAAGCAATGGGGAAGGTGAGGAGAGTATAAGATACACATGTATCCATGGCAGTTTTCACAGGAAGCTGGAAACAGACACTATGTGGGAGGGCTGGCACAGCTGCTGTGAAACCTGTGGTCCGGGGAGACACATGTGGACAAAAAGCCGGGGTCTGCCATGGTCAAGCTATTCTTTACCTGGGTCACCTGTACAGAAGCAGACTGGGATCTCTGTCAGCCATCGGGCAGGTCCTGGCTCCATGCTTACCTCCTCTGCCCAGGTCAGGGTGAGATGGGTAGGCCTGTCCCATTCCCCTGACACTGGTGAGCCTTAAGGAGGGGGGCATGTCTCACTTGTTGCAAGACCCCCATGCCTGGCCCATGGCTGGCACTGTTAGGTGATGGCAGCGTTGGCTACACTTTGTCCTCTCCTTACTACCTGTCTCCATCCCTTAAGGCTGCTGTAACAAAAGGCCAGACCAGGTGGCTTAAGTACAAGGAACTGACCGCTTCCAGCTCTGGAGGCTGGAGTGCAACTTTAAGATGCTGGCAGATCAGGTTTCTGCCAAGGGCCTCTCCTGGTGTGTGGACGGCAGACTTTCTGCCGAATGCCCAGCTTTAGTCTCCTTTTCTTCTAAGGGCTCAAATCTGCCACCTGTGACCTCACCTAAACCTACTCAATTCCCAGAAGCCTCGCCTCTGACACTATCCCACTGGGGGCTAGGATTTCAACAGATGATTTGGGGGGACAGCCAAGTGCAGTCTGTAACATAGCCATCATGGAGACGGAGGTCAAAGGTCTAACATCCCATTCCTGAGGGGTCAGACAGGGATAGAGCCCTATCAGCACTGCTGTGGCAGAAGTTTTTGCTTCACATCTCCACCGGAGCTTCTGGGCGGGGCCCAGGAATCCCTGCTCTGGTGAGGATATTACACCCTCAGAGCCCCCGCTGCTCAAACAGCTCCATGGTTTACCTCCTCTGCCCAAGTTGTGGTGCTTGGGAATGTCTGACTACGTACACTGAAGGCTTGAGGACCCTGGACCCCACTTCCAGGCCACTGTGGTGGAACACTGAGGGTGTTGGGCAAACAGGAAAGCACGGCTGCTTGCCCAGGCTCTGCCATTCGGCCCACTGCCTATCCCTCTTGGTTCCATGGTGAGCCAGGCCACAGGACCATCCAGTCCTGACACTCATATCCAGAGTGTTACCGCCCCCCCCATTTATATGCCAGGACACCCACCGTGCTGGGCAGGACCCATGTTGCCTCCTCCCAGAGAGCAGCTAGATGTTCCCACAGATGTCATGGGGATGGATCCCGGTTTGGCCCAAACTTTGCTGTCCTCCTCCACCCATCGGAGAGCCCTGGTCTCCTTCTCACACTCCTTGCCATGGACAATGGCTGGCTGCCTGGGAATGATGCATCCTCACTGGCGGCCCACACCAACCCATGTCTGCTGCTCTATCCAACAGGAATTCCAGTCTCCCACAGCCAGGGAGCAGCTGCCTCCCTCTGACTAGTTACCAGCCAGGATGGTCTTCTCTGGCACTTGTAGGCCAGGCAGTCCAGGCAGAGCAGGCCCCAGCACTCTAGACACCAACTCCCAGGACAAAGAGCCTTAGGACCACCTACCTGTAAAACAGCTGAGTGAGCCTGGATTCCGCGTTCCCCCGGCACCCCAGAAGTACAAGCTGCTTGTCTTACCTAAGGAGAGCTGCACTATGGAGTCCTAATCTCCCATCCCACTCTGGGCCTCCTCTCGTGGCAGCACTGGCCAGACACAACACAGGACTATGTCTGGAGAGGTCATACTGAGAATGGAGACCCCTTAAGGGACCTTAAGACCCCAGCGGGGTCCGCAGTCCTCGCCTGGAGGACCCTATGTCTTGTTATCACAACCTTCAGGAAGCTGGGGTCAGCCCTGGTAAACAGACCTTCCAGGAAGTGGCCTGCAGGGTCCTCAATGGCAACATGGCAGGCCCTTGACAAGGACACAGGAAATGTCTGCAAGGGGAAGGGGCCAGGTGAGTATGTCACTATGGGATGGGGGCCACCCTCAAGGGCCTTCCACTAGGAGCAATACAGGAGTGTATGCACACCAGGTCCTGGTTGCTAGGAGGCACCCAAAGGTGAGTGCAGGGTTGGGCTCCACTAGGAGGAGGGGAACAGCCAGGGGTCCTAAGAGGACTGCATGCAGTACCCGCCAGTGGGGGCCGCTCGGGTTTGCCTTTAGGACCACTACAAGATCTGGGGCAACTCAACTGGGCTCCCAGGGAAGAAGGGGAAGCATTTAAATGGGACCAGGGATCTCACTCTGCTCTGGAGAAGTCAGGGGCTTCCCAAAAGCCTTTGCGGCCCTGGGGAGGGGAAGGGGAAACAGGGTCACACCAGCTATCTCAGGATCTGGCACAGTGAGTCCACCTAAAACTGGGAAAAGATTCTGAAGCTAACACACAGCACGGCTAGAGCATCTAAGAAGCTGGTCACAAATGAAGGACAAACATGTTTAGAGGGCACAGGAGGTTCTGCAAAGAATCCAGAAGGAAGCAGAGATGAAAGTGCTTGCTGGGCACCTGGGCCAGAAAAACAGAAGCCCTGGGCTCCATGGTACACATGGACCTGTTTCTGTACACTGTGCACTTTAGACATCCATTCAGTGGCAAGCCAGAGGAAGCTGCCAAGGGTTCTGTGGAGGAGGCAGAGTGCAGGCCCCAGGACCTACTCCTTTAAAGAACCCCAGTGGGGCACAAGGGATCCAGCTAGAGGGGCTGTTCCCTCAGCTGGTTCTCGGAGGATTGCTCTGAGGCCAAATGTCATTCTGGCCAGTCAGGACACTAAAGTCGAACAGAAGTAGGTCGTGAGGGAAAGGGCTGGTCCTCAGATGGAAAATCTCATGGGCATAAACCATCTACAAGGGACCTGACAGGGTTGGTCAGAGCTCCAGCAGCTCCACCGCACCCTTTCTGAGGTGACGCATCACATCCTGTACACACATTTGTCCTTCAGTGCTGCCAGCAACCAGTGAGCCCTGACCTCTGACTTCCTGCAGCACCTCAAGCAGCTGCAACTCAAGTCTGTTGAGAGCCAGAAATGGCACACAGTGCAGTTACCACCCTAGACGTGGGACGGAAGTGGTGTGACAGCGGCATGACCAGAGGCAGGAGGGCCCAAAGAATCAGCACAAAACCTCTGAAAACTATCTGATTTTTATAGTCTTCACACATGCCTTTAAAGCAAGAAACACACATGGCCACTAGTGCTATGGAGGCAATGACTATGGCCTCAGTGTTTGGACAGTTGTTAAAAATGCAAAGCACTCTCCCCGAAGTCCCCTTGGCTTCATGGGATCCCGGGAGCAAAAGTCTTGGTGGAATAACTAGCAAACACTGGAATGAAAACTAGGTGCCGATTCAGCTGCCATGACTTGAATCTGAGAGGGAGTGGAGTTCAGGGGAAAGCAGTGAAAGAACATAGAAAAATACACCTATTTCATGTACATTCAGAGGTGCTAATGACCATGGACAAAGGGCCTTCTGAAATCACAGGTACAGGAGGCCATGGTGCCTAAAATGAGAAGCTACAAATCAGCTACAAGGTCTGGGGAAATCAGACTGCATCTTCCTACAAATGCTTTTGTGAAACCAACCCATGTGGACATGCCTTCCCTGGGAGTATCACTAACCTGTTAGCTGAGGATAAAAGCTCTAACACCGCTGGAGCCCCCAGAAGTCTGTTTTACCATGCTCAGTGCAAGCCTAGGAGTAATTTCTGAATGCCTCATCAAGATCTCTCCATGTAAATGCTGTAACCGTGAAATTCAGGAGAGCACTGAATATGGACTCTGCGCTGGCCTTTGAACCAAAGGCTGAAAACAAGTGTCCATGGTCCCTGGGGACAAGGAGAGGACCTGGCCAGGTAGCTATAACTCTGTACAGGAAGTCACGCCACCCTGTCAGCAGCAGCATGGCTCAGACCTGAGCTGTGGGGCCTGTTGGCCACAGGGGATGCTATAGTCCATTTAGGACCATGGCTGAAGTAGCCACCTGCAAGAGGGCTGTGTTTGCTGCCTATGCAGCCACAAGTGCGCTATTCTGGCAGTGGAGGTGATCAACTTGTGTCATAGTCCTTGGCATCTTGCCCTCAGGTACCAGGCTCAGTGTCCACCCTACACAGGAACGCCCAGTCACCCAGCCCACCAACCCTTCTCGGGCCAGCATGGTGGTTTTCTCCTCTTGGGCAGACATGTCTTGCCCCTGACACACATGGCTCAGCCTGGCCCCAGCTACAGCTACAGAAGGTTTAAGGGTGCTTCACGTAGGGGGTCTCCTTGCAGGTCTCATCCCATTCAGGTCACAGAAAAACCCTGGTCAGCTGGAACACACAGGGCCAGGCCCTCCTGAGTAACACAGCAGCTGGCGAGAGCTCTGGGTGTCTGAGCGTGTGGGCACTCTAGGGAGCCCAGCTTCAGGCTATCATCAGTGATCACCTGCTGTAGATGAGCAGGGCAAAGGGGAGAGGGTTGGGCCTGTGCCCCCAGCAGGGCACTCCTGGAGGGCCTCAATTTTGACCACAGCTCTCAGAGCAAGCCGCCGCTGTCTTAGCTGCCACTGTCGGCTGAATGCAGAGTGCAGCGCATGCAGCTGCTCCGCCTCCTGCATGGTGAAGCATGGCTGCTGTTCGGCAAAGTGCACAATAGCTTCAAAGGATGCTGCCGCCTGCTCCCAGGCTGCCTCATCATCCTCCTCAGTGCCCCGCTCCCCTTCTGCATGCCCATCTACCTGGGCTGGTGGCGCGGCAGTGTGTGCCTCACCCTCCTCCCTCCCAACTGTGCCCTGCTCCTCTGCCCCGATGTTCTGAAGCCTGCTGCCCGGGCAGGAGGGGCCCTCTTTCACCAGCTCAAGGATGTGGGCAAAAGTCTTATGGTGAGGCTTAGAGGTGCAGTGCTCTGCCGCCACTTCCTCCTCCTCCAATGAGCTGTCAGTGAAGGCACCTGCAGGCCACAGCTTCCTCCAAGCCTGCCTGAAGACCTGGCTGGGCACGGCATTCCAGGCACAGGCCACATTGAAAATGGTATCGTTCATGCTGTAGCGGGAATGGAAGCCCTGCAGGGTGACGGGAGGGCTAATGAAGTGCCTCATGAAGTCTCTTCGAATGCCTTGCTCCATGGGCTGAATTAAGGAGGTCACACTGGCAGGCAGGAAGATGGTGAAAATGTTATCAGACATCAACTCAGACTCCTGTGGGTGGGCCCGGGAGTTATCCAGCAAGAGGATGGCCTTGCTGTCTTCGGGCAAACCTATTGCTCTGAAGTGCTCACGCACCGAGGGGACAAAGATGTGATGGAACCAATCTGCGAAAATTTCCTTGTCTACCCAGGCATTGCCCTGGGCCTTATAGGCAACAGGCAGGTGCTGGATGCCTCTGAATGCCCTGGGGCCACCACACTTCCCAATGGCCAAGGGTTTGATTCTGTGGGACCCCGTGGCATTGGCACACATCAGGACAGTCAGTCTGTCCTTGCCTTGTTTGAGGCTGGGCATGGTCCCACCATCCGGGTTGGGATTTGGTAAGCACCGCCAGAAAAGGCCAGTCTCATCAGCACTGTAAACCTGCTCAGGGGACAGCCCGTGCTCAGCAGTCAAGCTCCTAAAAAAGCCACAGAACTGCTCAGCTGCTTGGTGGTCAGCCACCTGCTTCTCACTGGATGCATCTAGCTTTTTAATGCCATGCCTGGCCTTAAAGCGCCAAAGCCACCCTCCAGAAAACACACAGGGCTCGGTCAGCTGCATTTGCTCGTAGAAGTCCTTGGCCTTCTCGATGAGCATGGGACCTGACACAGGGATGCCCTCGGCGCGCTTTACCAAGAACCACTCATATAGCACCCGATCCAGGTGCTCCAGCTTTGGCGTGTGCAAAGTGCGCCGCTGCTCCAGTGCCTGTCTGGAGTCTGAGTTGGCAAAGAACCTGAGCAGCTGTGTCTTGTGAGCCTTGATGTCATACAGGGTGGACATGCCCACATTGTACTCCTGCATCAGCGCCTTCCTGCTCTCGCCCCGCTCCAGGCGTGTGCAGATGTCAATCTTCTCCTTCAGGGTCAGGACCACCCGCTTGCGCTTTTCCCCCCTGCCCTTTGCAGCATTCTGCTTGGAGGCCATGGGGGGGGGGGGATGGCGTGGCCTGGCCTGGAACTACTCCTTCTCTGCCTCAGTCTTTGCCTCTCCCCTCTGTCCTTCTGACCTGCTGATCCCAGGCTCAACTCCAGTCCCTCACTGGCTCTGCCTTCCACTTGCAGCAATCTCTTGCCTCAGCCTTCCTTCAGTTCAGTGTTCTGGGCTCCAGCAAGCTCAGGCCTTGGCTCCTAACAACATGGTCTGCTACCAAGTCTTTCTGCAGGACAGATGGCCAATGTCACACTGCCTGGGGCTGCTCCACTCAGCTGGACCCTTGGGCTTCTCTGTATACACAGCAAAAGAGCTCCCTCAAACACTGCCAGGTTTCATTAACGGATGTTTTGCAGCATGAGCTGGGAATACCTCTCTCCAGGGTCTACAGTGGTGTTTCATCCACAGCCCTACAGAAATTGGAAAGCAGAGAAAAAAAAATGTTATGGGAAGAGCCTGGGACATTCCTACCATGAAGCTTCACAAGAAACTAGAGAGCTGCTCCATGCTGTGTTTGCTGCTGACTGTCCTGCGATGTCCCTCACTTCCTTCATGAAAGCTTGCCTCCAGCCCTCTCCATTTCTCAGAGGGTGACTTGGGGACCACAGAGGCAGAGTCCCACAGAGGCAGCAGCACCAGCGATCTTACTATATGTGCATTCCACCATGTAAGTGCATGCAGAATTCACAGATGGAGTCTTAGCATCCTGACCCCTCTTAAGCCTTATCTGGCTGTTTTATCCAACTTTGTGCAGTCATGAGGTCAGAGGGTTACTTGTATGTGCAGCACAAAAATGAGTACACCTCAAGAGAAATGAGACATTTATCCAAAGGTAGTAAGAGCTCCAAAGACACATGTCGGGCTTTGTCACCAGCCAGGTTGGTTGGGGAGGGGTCCCTTTCTGAGTCAGGATCTACAAGATGCAATGTCCTTTAGGACATAGAATTCCATTTATTGACTGGGAAGGGTAGTGTGCATACTGCCTGGCACAGCACACAGTGCGGTATGTGCACATCACTGTGGGGAACAAAAGGGAAATCAAGCCAATTGAGGATTTTTAAAATGAAATGAGGGAAATAAGATGTGGAATTCCACAGGAACTTGTGAGGCTGATAAGCTTCCTGGAGAGATCTGGCACCAGAAATGGGCTCACTATGGACATCTCTTGATGCTTGGCATGCAGATGTGTGCCGGGTGACAGGAGGTAGCTGAAAACCCTGTCCAGCTTGCAAGGCTAAACATTTCCTTCAGGAGTGAAATTTGGTTACTACTTCTAAAAAATCTCTTCCTAGCCAAGGGGTAACATGGCATAGTAAGTAAGTAGTTTCCAGCCTTGCAGTTTCAAGGGAAGCACTGACACCCTGAGGCCATGTGAACTGATGTAAAGTCTTATTTGCCTGTGCCAAAGCGGTGGATAAAAAACTGGGAGGACTGAAGGGACAGAGCTGAGGCAAGACAGAAAGAGGGAGACACTCATCCCCATTCAGATTTCTCCTGTGTGAGGGGAAGTTAATTTCTTTAGAAAAGGCCCTTAAGAATTTAGGGAAAGGATACAAAAAAACGACCTTTCCGTCAGCAGGCTATGGTTGTCTACGGGGAAGGGAGGACGTCAAGCAGAAAGATTTTTGAAAGGAGAGTATGAATATTGGAGACTGGGCAAAACAACTGGAGAGTCCTGGGAAAAGAGTGGGGATCCTTTTCCCGACAGAAATGTCGGTGCGCGCATGCGCAGGGCCAGGCCTGGGCGCCAACTGCAGTGGGAGTTTACACACACCCGATTCCCGGCGGGGGAAATCCGAAGAGGAAGATCCTTGATCTCCTAGGGGCTTGTCCTGAAAGCGATTCCTTTCCTGGGACCAGGTTCAGAGTGGAAGATCGGTGCAGGGCTTGGGAAAATGAGAAAAGAAAACGACATCGGCGAAGCCTCGTTCGTCCTCGGGGAGGCCCCCAGGTGACGAGACCCTGGGAAGGTGGAGGCTCGCGCTGGGGCGTCGTGGGACCCGGCGGTGGGTGCCTCTGGGAGAGCGCTGGGGGCTGCTCGGACGCCGAGCGTCGGGGTTGAGGTCGGCAAGAAGCAGAGCCGAGCCTGCAAACCCGCGACTGGCGCAACCGAACCAGGGTGGCCAACCCGCGGGAGGCATCGCCGCCCCGCCCGCCTGCCTCGCACCGGGTTTTACTCACCTGTGGGCGCCGACCCGCAGCCGTCGGCCGGAAGTGCTGCCCACCTCTGGTCCGCTCCTCGAGGCCTTCCCCCGGTCACTTCCGGGGCGCTCTAGGCAGGGCGGAGGACTCGGCCTCAATGGTGTGTGGGAGGCGAGCCCAGGCTGTTCCAGCGCTGGTGGCGGGGCGGGAACGCTGCGTCTTGGTCTCCCCTTTCGTAGAGTTGGCGCCAGACTACGAGAGCCCTGGTGTTATAGGAAGTGGAAATCCTGTGCTGAGTGAGGCTCAGTAGTCCAAGAGTTGGCGCGGAAAGCCAAGTGTGTCTGGGGCCGCCTCTGCCTTGGGGAGTTTCCAGCCCCTTCCTACTTTCCCACCCCATGAGTGCCCTGGCCGGGTCCAGCAAGCCTGACCTGGAGCCTCACGCTAGCCTAGTTTTCTCTGGCGAGGAGATTTAAAACGGGTGAGCTGGAGAGACTTCGGTGACATTGGGACTTGAGTATTTGCTGTGATGGAGACTCTGGGGAGCCTTAAGATGGGGTGAAACTTTGAAACTGTAGGGGTGCACTATGGTGGGCTGAATGGTGAACCCCAGGGCACCCACATCCCAGCCTCCAGAACCTGTGAACACGTGGCCTTCAAAGGCAAGAAGGCCTTGGTAGATGCCAAGTTAAGTTTCCTGAGATAGAGAGTTCTGATTATCCAGTGGTCATCACAGTGAGAGGCAAGAAGGAAGGGCAAGAGGGAAGACAACATGATGGCCAGGGCAGAGGGGAGAGGGCCACCTAAAGAGGAGAGGAGGGAGGGGCCCCAGCCCAGGGGAGCAGGTGGCTTCTAGAAGGAGGAAAGCAAGGAACAGATTCTCTCTTAGAATGCAGCCCTGCTGACATCTTGATCTTAGCTCCACAGGACTCATTTCAGACTTCTGACCTTCAGGAGTGTAAAATAATAGATCTGTGTTGTTTTAGCCTACCATGTTTATGCTAATTTGTTACAATCACCATAGAAATGCGTACAGATTTTCTGACTTACTCCTCCTTACTTCACATTCTTCCTGTTGCTCCCAGGATCCTACACGGCTTTCTTCTGTCTCCTCACTGCCTCGCAGGTCTCCAGCTGACAGGACCCACTCCTAGCTGTGTTTGCTCTATCTGCTCCTACTGCCCATGTGAGCTCCAGTATCAGGACTTTAATACCAGGAAAGGGGGTGGCTCCCATGTCTCCTGCCAGGACCCCCCCCCCCAAAATCCAATCTACCATCCACCCCACACCCTACACAGCTTCCCAGCAGCGCCTCAAAGGCAAGGTTTCTGAAACAATCCTCCACTTCCTGTCAGTCAGTGGCAACTCCACCTTCTCACTTAGTCGAAACAGAAAACCCAGGGCCATCTTTGACTCTCTCGCTCATGCCTGATATCCAGTCAGCCAGGAGCTCTTATTGTCTCTGTCCAAAAAACTCATCTTTTTCACCTCTCCAGCTGCTGACCCCTGGTCCATACCTCCAGGATCTGGCAGATTCTTCTTTCCTGTCCTCTTTTTTCTGTCTTTACCCCATGATCAGCTATCAGCTGCTGCATAGCAAACCACCCTAAAACTTACTGTCTTGAAACAGCAGCCACCCTGTCCAGCACATGGTTCTGTGGGTATGTTTGATAGAGGAAGAAATCGAGTTATGGAGCATAGCAAGCATGTGGTTGGATTAGAATCCGGGATCCCTGGAGGAGTTCCCTCAGCAGTACTCCTGGTACAACTAGGTACCCCATGGCTGGCCCTACTCCAGTGCTTGCTTGGCTCTCTGCTGCCACCCTGTGGACCTGGGATTCAGAGCACCTCCCCGACCTGGCTAGCAATGGCAGGGGTAGGGGCTTGGCATGGAACAAGGCCTAGGGCATTTACTCTGGGACCCTCAGGCTTCCTCTTATGGGTGAAGTTCACTCTGGCAGTGGGGAGAGGGTCAGAAAGAGAGAAAGATGGAAGAAATTCAGTGGTGTCCCCTGGAGCCTGGCACAGAGCTTCCCTCCCTAGCCATGTCCCAGTGCACAAGGTCATACCTCCAGACCAAACCTGGACCGCTGCAGCAGATTCCATGGCCATTCACAGGAAATTGGCCTGGGGAGTGTCAGTCTCCTTGCTCAGGTTCTGGAGGCTCCAAGTGAGGAATCATCAGCCACCGATCCTTCCGGGAGGATCTTAGGTAGATGTCCCAAGCAGAGGGTTATTTGTGAAGCCCACAACCCAGTGGTAGAGAAAGGAAACTGTCCTAGAGGCATCTGGGATCCCCTGGTTCACCAACTCCCTCTGGGAGGGAAGGGTGGGCATGAAGAATACGGAGAGGCAGAGGGCCCGCTGGTGGACTGAGAGCTGGGACGGGTGATGCCCGCCAGAAGTGGGTGGGGGCCAGGGCCACTGACAGTGCTTGGTGAGACCAGGAAAAGGTGTCTCTTCTGGGTAAACAGGGGTCTTGGGAAAATTAGAGACAGAATGGGGGTGGGCTCTGAGGTACTGTACTGCCCAGCCTGCTGTCCAGAAAGCCCTCCTGAGATTCAGTCCCCCAGTGTCCACTGATAAAACCTGCTCAGGACTCCTCGCCTAAGACCCTCCTGGGAGGACTGGTGGCTGGCAGTTCATCATTTGATACCTCCAGAACCTGAGCAAGGGGCATTGCCAGGGCCCGGGGCCCCTTCCAGACAAAGGGCTGCAGGCAGAGGGCACAGCTGCATGGCAGGGTCAGCCCATGGGCTTGGAGGAGGACTGCAGGAGGCCAACTACACATAGGTTCGTGGCTGACAAGACCTGGGCTTTATCTGGGGAGGGCCGTGATCTGCCCAGTCTGATGCACACTCACCCTAACCCAGCATTCCTACCGCACCCTCATACCCATATACACATACACACACCTTCTCATATGGCACAGTCATCACACTCACATGTCACACACACAGAGACCTCGTAAGACAGCCTGCATGGGGGCCGGCTCTGAGGGTGACCCTAACACCCATGATCTGGCTGCACAGAAGCCACACCTCTCACCTGTCCGCATTGTTCCAGAGGAAAATATCTGCACCTGTGTAAGCAGACGTCAGTTGTGGTTTTGCATTGAATGTGCCGTCTTAATTTTTAAAACGAGCTCTATGTGAAGTAAAAAATTCAGGCAAATGTTATGTGCGGTCAAGCATGGGGCTTCATGGACTGCTGGCAAGGACTTCCTGCTAGAGGCCTACACCCAGGGAGCAGCAGCTCCTGTACTGTGTGCGCAGGCAGAGCCCAGTGAGTCTGGGCTGCGTAGCTAGGTGGGTGGGTAGAGGGCTGGGAGAGAACAGGAAAATCTGGAGTCCCAGGAAGTGGATGGAGTGCAGCCGACCAAGGCTAAGGGTGAGTCATGTGGCTGCCACAACCAGACCCTGTCCACTGCCAAGGGGCCGCAGGGAGCCCTGCCCCTCTGTGACAGACCTTCCCGGGGAGCAGGACCACCAGAGGATCCAGGCTCAGTGTAGTCTCAGGGGCTGCATTCGGTGTGTGCCTAAAGCATGAGTGATGAGGAACTGTGGTCAGGGTGGCCAGAGTCAGCACCCAGTGTGTGACCATACCAGGGCTCAGTGTGTGACCAGGGTCAGGCCTTAGGGTGTGACCATGATCTTGGCTTATGAGGGGAGCAGGGCCAGAGAACAGACTGACCCAAGTGTGGGCTCAGTGTTGGGCTGTCGTCAGAGTTCAGTCTGTGGTCAGGGTGGGGCTACAGGAAAGTCACAGTCACAATCTTCAATACTTGAGCTGTGGCCATTAGGCCATCCCTAGGCCAGCTCCCACCTTGGCTCTGCTGACAATGGGGACTGGGGATTCTGTTCTGTGTGATGCAGGGTGCTGAGTAGATTCTGGGCCTCGGCCTGGAGGATCCTGGGCCCACTCCACGTAGTGCTAGGAGCACCTCAAGTTGGGACAGCCAAAAATGTCTCCGGGCCTTGCCAAATGAGCTGAGGAGAGGGCAGAATTGCCTGTTCAAGAACCAGCCTTGAAGTCCTGACTTGATATCAAATCTGATCGGCAAACACATACACACCTGTAAATATTTGGAAAATGAATGTTCAGGCTGGTGCCGGGTGCAGGGTGCCTCCAATGCAGAGACAGATAAGGAAGGGTCCTGTACTGGACGGTGAGTCCCAGGGGACCGGAGCTGGGTGGGATGAGGGGTCAGACAGGCAGCAGTCACACACGGAAACAGCCAGGCCTCCACACCTGACTCATGGCTCTCGGCCTGCCCTGGGCTGGAGGGGATGTGCAGAGAGAAGTTCTGGGAGGGGAGAGAGGGCAAGACAGTGTACTGGGGAGGCTACACTTGCCCTGTGTGACCTTCAGCCATGTCCCGCCCCCGCCCCCCCCGAGCCCCAGCCTCTTCACTGCCAAAGAAGAGAGCTTCCAGGGCAAAGAGCCCCCAATCTGAAGGGTGCTAGGGAGCTGGGCAAGGGAGATCCCCAGGCTTGGAGCTGCCTGACCATGGGTGGAAGGCCACAGGCTGGTTGGTAGGCACTGCAGAGTGCCAGGGTGGGGGGTGGGGGTCTTATGTCACCCCTGACCCCCACCAGCTGTGTCATCTCCATCCAGGACTGCGGTGACTCTTGGGAGCTGCTGGGTCTCAGGCCCCAGGATGCACATGCCTCTTGGCCTTCCTGGGCTGTCCAGAAGGCTGAGGGTGGTGGCCTCCTGAGGCTCCCTAACCCTGCAACACCCTGACTGTTAGAATGCTCCAAGGCCCTTCTCAGGGGACACATGGGGAAGGAAGAATGTTTAGGAAACCAGCAGGACCGGAGAGTAGCAGGGAACTGAGCAAGCGGATAGTACCCTGGCTAGCGCTTGTGTCCATTAGCATCCAGCCAGAACAGCGGCCTGCCACAGGGGTCATAGGCGGAGTCTGGCAGGGGGACGTAGAGGCGCTCAGAAACAGGGGCCACAAATCCCCCCACAGCCCACAGCAGCAGGGAGCCACTGGGGTACCCTGGGCCTGGCAGCAAAATGGAAGGAACAAGGACCAGAGACTAGCTGGGGAAGGCTGACCCGCAGGACCTGGGGCCCTTTCACAGCACAGCCACCGCAGCCCGGGCATCAGGGTGCTAGAGCACGAGAGGGCCTGGCCTCTGCCCCTTCCTGCTGTGCCCAGGTTCGGAGTAAGTCCTGACAATGAAGCACAGCTGCAGTGCCTGGGCTCCTGCCTTTTCCTTCTCCTCAGGGCCTTTAGAAAGCTGTACATTTCCCTGATTGCCTTGTAGCTAACGTTACAGCTTGTGGGGCTTAATAAGGCCCTGAGGGTAAAGCCTTAGCCCAGGATGGCACCTACTGCTCCAGAAAGGGGAGCCTGCCGCTGTCCCCATTGGGCCCCTAGGTCCTTCCTCAGGGAAGGAACCCCTTAGGACAATCCCACCCTGTGAACCCTGCTAGTTGCCAAGGCAGCAGCCCCTGCTGTTCTGTCTGGGATCCTCTCACTGAGGCCTCTCAGCTAGGAAAGCAGCTCAGCTTCCCCACAGAGCAATGAGGCTCCAAGGAAGCCCCTGGGCCTCTGCTAAAAGACTGGATGGGCCTCAAGAATGTGGTCTCCCTGGTCTGGCCCCACTCTGTAAGGCAGGAGGCATGATCCTCCTGCAGGGAAAGTGCTCCACCCTAGGCAGGACCTGCCCCACCCAGAGGCAGAGAAAGGACAAAGAGGGTAAAAAGGAGGGGGGGGTCAAGTTTGGGAGGGCCCAGCAGCCTGTCGCTGCTGACTGGCCAGTGTGGCTTCACCTGCCAGCTGGAGCTATATAAAGTCCTTCTGAGGCCTGCTCCCCTGCCGACTTGTGACCATGAAGGCTGTCCTCCTTGCCCTGCTGGGCATCAGCTTGGCCCTGCAGCCAGGTGAGGCTTGGGCCATTATGGGGGTAGGGCTGGGAAGGGAGAAGGGAGGGAGGCCAGAGGGGGACCCTGAGGGCCAGACAGAGGGGAGGAGGGCAGAGGAAGGAGGCTCTCGTCCCACCTGGTACCTTGGGGGAAGCGCTTGACACAACCGAGGGGCAGGCTTTGGAGGTGGCATGAGGCTGCTTTCCACTCCTTGGGCAGCACTGGCTCCTGGAGGGACAGACAGATGGACGGGGATGCTAACCAACAGCCTGGGAGGGCAGGGCCCAAACGTCTCAAGCTACAAGCACCCCAGAGGGAAGGAGGGAAGACTGGGATGTGGACCTGAGGATCACTCTGGAGCCCACCCCTGGGGTCTGCTCCTCCAGGTGGAGCACTGGCCACCCAGGCTGAGGGCCTGTGGGGACAGGGTGGTCTGCTCTGCTCTGGCTCGACCCTCCCACCAGGTGTCCTGGACACTTCACCAGCCCACTCAGAGCCTCGGCTTAATCTTCTGGACAATAGAGAGAATTATGAAAATTGCTGCTGAGACCACGGGACAGCTAAACGGGGAAGTGTTTGGGTGCACTGAGGGCAGGGCAGGGGACGCAAGGCATGTTTTCACAAGCTTTGTCCCTGTTTGAAGAGAGGACACTAAATCATGGCACCCTGGCAGGTGGCCCCCCACGCCAGAGACAGTGGTACATGGCTCAGGGGCTTACACACAGCACCCAGGAGACCTGGAAGGGGCCAAGAAGCCAGGTAGAGCTAGGGGACAAGGGCAGGTGAGCTCGGTGTCTGGTGGCAGGAGGAAGGGTCTCTTGACCTGCCCTGGGGGCCAGCTGGCCTTTCCAGGTGCTACTGGCAAGTCCCCCTGGAGCTTCTCAGCCTCCCCTGGAGGGAGCATAGGCATTTAATAAAGCCTTAGGTCTCTAAGGGTGGCAGGTGGTGCTTCAGTGGCGTGAGGGGAGGCAGCAGGGAAGCCTTTCCTGGGAGGAGGAGTTACATGGACCTCGGTAGAGGTGGCCCAGCCTCAGAGAGCTCCCATCCTCTCAGGTCAGGAGGGGCCTGGTGGAAGTCCTCCAAAGGAGGCTGGCAGCCTCTGGGGGACCCCCAACCCAGCAGGGGTCACCGCAGGGGTTAGGTTGGCAGCCGCTGAGTATCCCACCCTCCCACCTGCAGGTGCTGCCCTGCAGTGCTATTCCTGTACAGCCCAGATTAGCAACAAGGACTGCCAGAATGTGAAGAACTGCAGCCAAACCGAGACCTACTGCTGGACGTCGCGCGTCCGTGAGTGTCAACCTGCTCTGCTCCCTCCTCTCCACTGGCAGCCGCCAGAGAACCTGGGCCTTGTCTCTGGCACTCTCCACCCTCTGCTAGTCTGCTCGATTACTCTTCTATTCCCAAGTGCCTGCTCAGCTTCCTACCCGCCTGTCCACCCTGCACTCAGGGTACTTAGCTCCAGGCCCTGTTGCCCTGGGCAGTTAGATGTGGACAAGCCCAGGCCTCTGGCCTTGGGCAGCTCTTGGTCTCATGGCTAGCCTGGGGGAGGGGGAGCTGGAGCTCCAGTTAGAGGAGGCACAGGGTGGTGGGCTGGGGCAGGCCTAGACAGGTGAGTCCCAGGACCTGTCCTCAGCCAGCGGTCACCATGCCCTCCAGGTGCCATTGGGATCCTGAAGCTCATCAGCAAGGGCTGCACCTCGGACTGTGTGGATGATTCAGACAACTACTACTTGGGCAAGAAAAACATCACCTGCTGCTCCACTAACCTGTGCAACGTCAGCGGGGCCTATGCCCTGCAGCCAGCCAGCACCCTGGGGCTGCTCCCAGTGCTCACTGGCCTGCTACTGTGGGGCTCTGGGCAGCTTTAGGCTCCAGGGACAGTGGTGGCCTAGCCCTGGGCTTCCTCACACACCTGGCCCCAGTCCTGCATGCACCCCGACACAGGCCTGCCCTGACCAGTCCCTGCTGTGGCTCCCTCCAGGACTCTGGCCCAGCGCCCACCCACTCTAGTGACAGGGACAGTCTGAAGCTGCCCAGTAGCCCACTGGGCCCTTCCTTCACCTCTGATCAGGCACCTCCTTCTCCAGGATGCTTTTCCCTCAATCCCCTCCAGGAGCTGAGTCAGGTCAGTGAGGGGCAGCACCTGGAGGCCTAGAAACGGCTAAGAGGAGAGGGGTTGGGTGCCAGTGGGGACTAGATGTGAGGCCCTGGAAGTCCCCCATGTTCAAGGGACCTGGGACACAGCAGCTTCAACACACAGTGGGCCCTTAATAAACACCTCTTGGGTAAGTGGGAGAGCTTCTGTCCTTTCCCCAGTTCCTGGGAGGGGTTGGGTTGGGGCCAGGGCTGTGTCTGGTGTGGATGTGGCCTTGACATCAGAGCTGTAGTTCGGGCCTTGGCAGGAGCAAATGTGTGGCATGTGGAAAGGAAACATCCGTAGGAGGCCAGGAAGCTTTTCTTAGGGCTCCTAGCCCTTGTTATGCAGTCTTGAGCATGTGCAAAGTGTCTCTGGACCCTAGTGCTCATCTGTGGCCCTCCTTGCTATGACACCAGTCTCAGAACTCTCACTGGGGGAGGGCTCCTGCTGGAGGGGTGTATTAGTCAGCGTTCCCATCACTGGGACACAATACCTGACACCCTACAATTTAAAGGAGGAGAGGTCTAATTTGACTCAGAGTTTCCAGGGATTTAGTCCATGGTTGACTGGCTCCAAGGCAGAAATATCGTGGCAGAGTTTCATGGCCGATCAAAGCTGCTCAGTTCATGCTGGCCAAGAAACAGAGCAAGGGGAACAGCACCAGAGAGGAAGGGGCCAGGGACCAGATAGGGTACCCAAGGTCATGACTCCGTGACCCACCCAGGCAGGCACACCCAGCAGTGTGCTTTACCAATTGCCTGCACAGCTCCCAAGACAAGCACATTGACAGTCAAGCTTAGCTATCATCCCACTACTCCTTCAGACCTCAGTGAACTTGTTTTTTGAAACTTTTGTTCTAAGAGCTGCAGGTCCCTCCCCAGTAAATACTGAGATGCTACAAAAAAGTCCCAATGACAAGTCACCACCCCACACTGACCCCAAGGCCCAGGCTCTGCCCTGGGCTGCCTCGTTCCAATTCCTGGGTTCCGGTGGGTAAGTCTGCCCGTGCCCTTGGGCTCTCGAGGCCTGTGGAGGGACATGCCCACCCCTTCCCTTCCTAGTCCTGGAACTTGGCCTGTGCTGTGAGCTGGGGACAGCTGGGACCCCGGTGGGGACCTGCAGTGGGACTTCCAGGAAAAAGGGGGACCACAGAGGCTCAGAAAAGAGAGGCATTTGCTGCTTGTATCATGAACTGAGCCAGGGTCAGAACTTTGTCCCGGGCCTCTGCAGTGGCACTGGGGAGCCCAGCAGGAGGGAGGAGGAGTCATACTGAGGATGAGCCAGGTCAGAGGCCCTGGGGTTTAAGCCAGTGCCCACCTGTGTGTGACGTCAGGTGGGAGGCCTCCCTCTTACACCGGGGTGAGGGAGAGTACAGCCCGCTCAGGCCAGTGTCTGAGTGACCCTCAGTGCCGACTGCTGCTTTCCCCTTCCCAACATCTCCCCCCAATCTGCCTGGCTCCTTCCTGTGGGGGACCCCTGGGCTTCAGCCTCCTGAGGCTTATCACCTCCAACTCTGGCCCAAGGCATGTTCAGCACACAGGCCTGGCTTCCCAGGGCTCACTCCAGGGTCTAGGGTGGGCCTGTGTTTTCAAAGTACACTGTGGAGTTGGCGATCCCCTAGAACTTCACATGCATTGGGACAGCTTAGGCTGGTGCTTCCCAAGGCATTGTGTTTCCAGAAACTGCTGGCTGAGGCTTGATGACCTGTCTGGAAAGCATCCAGGGCACAGCCTGGGACCCTGGTGCCCTGCTGTGCTCTCAGCTGCTCAGCACACAGTCTCAACACCTGCTAGGTTCCAGGTGCTGCCCTTGGTACTCCCCATAACAGCAGTCAACCAGGCTTGGCTGGGTTCTGTCCAGCTCTCCTGGATACCTTGCAGCAGTGATGGTGAACTTTTTTAGAGGTTTCAATGATGTAAACAGCTCACTGTCGCCCATGTGTCATAGGTTTGCCACCACTGCCCTACAATCACCTGGGTCCATGGAGCCTACAGAGCAGTGCAAGAGACTCAGATGAGCAGGATAAACACATAAAAAGAGCTGGGAGAACAACATAAAGCCAAGGAGGAGGATCCAAATGCTGGCATGGCCAGGAAGGCTTCTTTGGGACCTGAGAGTTCAGAAAGGATGGTCACCTTACTGAGCAGGGCACAACCCACAAGGGCCCACACATAGCCACATTCCAGAGAGGGACTCCTTCTCCCTGGAGCTGGCACTGTGCCCAGGGCTGAAGCCCATCTAGGTCCTACAAGATAGGAGTGCCCAGGATGGGTGAGTGTTACTAAGTTGGGTGTTACAGGGACAAGTGTGAGCCGTGTTTGGGGAGACCCTGATAGGCAGTGAGCTCTGTCCCAGGAGGTATCCAGGCAGACCCAGGGACCTAGGAAACCCAGATCCTGCCCTGCACAGCTGTAGGTCTCAGGAGCAGATGGACAAAGGGTGACAACACCTCATTTTCTTTGCATTGAATTGCAATTACCTTGACCAGGCTGAGGGGAGGCAAGAAAGGCACTGAGACCCTGAAAGGAGGGAGGCCAGGCCTGTGGCACAGGCAGGGCAGGAAGCATCCTTAGAGCTGCAGCCTCCAGGATCTTGAAACTCACCCAGCCCAGCCGCATCCGGTGGCCACCCCACCTCTGCTGCTCCATGGCCCAAGCTCTGCTGGGTGGCTCCCTGAGCTCATCCTCTCCAGGTCCAGGGGCCTGCAACCCATGCACCAGCTGCTAGAAGTTGGGCTGCAGGCCTGCCCCTGGTGGTGATGCCTGTCACTACCATACACACAGGAGTCCTGGAGCAGCAAGGGCCCAGGGATAACCCCTGCCTGAAGTTCCTTGTGCACACATTGTGCAGGCTCACACACCCCAGGCACAGACTGTAGAAGGGGCTTTCTGGGTCCAGAGCCCAAGTCTCCCATCTGACTTGGATTCCTTCCAGTCCCCCAGTAAACTGCTGGCAACCCACCCCAAGATGCCACATCCTTGTGAAAGAGCAACATGGCTGGTGTTGGAGGGCAGAAAGGCAAGGGTCCCTCAAGCATTTAAGAGCATGGAACACCTGCCAAGCAATAGCCTGGGACACAGCGGTCAGCAGGTGCCCCAGCCCTAGGGTCCAGCAGCATGGAGACAGGCTTGTGCAGGCAAATCTGTGTCAACCAGTCAGCCTGGCGGTGGTGAGAAGGATCCCCGGAGAGGAGGGCGTTGGACCTGGCCCAGAGCAGGGATCCAGGGATGAGGGAGTGCACTCGGGTGGAGCATACTCAGGCAGCCTGCAGGGCCCAGGGCAGAGTCCAGCCCTGATGGGGCTGGATGGGACATAGTAGGCAAAGTCCAGGAGGCTGGACTCTGAACACGATTAAAAGGCTCTAAGGACAAGTCCTCAGTTCCCAGTCACCTCTCCCCAGGTGGTTCTCAGGGTGTGTGTTACAGGTGTGTGTTACAGGGAGAAGTGAATGCAATGTTTGGGGAAGTCGCTGATAGGCAGTGTGCTCCCGGTCCCTGAGGCTACCCAACCAGATCCAGGGATCTAGGAAACCTAGATCTTGCCCTGCTGCAGCCACGGGGCCCAGAAGCAAAACTGGAAAGGCAAAGAATTCAGTGTCTGTTGTTGAGGGAGACAGAGGCCAGCGGCCCAGCCACCCAGCACAGCGTGAGACGGTGGCATGGGGCTGCACAGGCCATCTGGCAGTGCTGTCCCCGTTGCTCCTCCCGCGACAAGTGGCGCTATTTGCTTGGGTTTTCCAAGAGGGGTGAGGGGGCAGGAATGCTTGGGATAGGCATGGTTGAGGTGCGCTTAGGGTCCTCAGGATCTTGGGAGTGGGGGTGAGTGTGGGGGGCGGGGCGTGACGAGGGTACAGGCTGGACCTGAGGTGTTCACGGGGGTATCGCTTTTCGGCCTTCTGGCTAAGATCAAGTGAGGTGTTCAGGGGGAGGGGGGTGGAACTTATTCACCCAGGCCCGCCAGGAATTCGGTGGGCCTCTTGGTCCGACAGGGTCGGGAGGCGCAGAGCAGGCGCATTGGAGCGCCCTGGAGACACCCTGTGTCCCATTTTTCCTTGCAAAGTTCGCTGTCTAGCCGGAAAGTGTTAGATCCGTTGGACCGGCGGGTGCGCGCGCTTCAAAAGTTTGCGAGAGACTGCGGGTGTGCCAGTGGCCCGGGTCCCGCAGCGCCTGCAGTGCTGAGAGCAGCCACCAGGTGCCGCTATGACTCTCAGAGCGCTCCGACTCCCACTTCCCCCTCCCGGAAAAGCAAAAGCTGAGGCCCCGGGTAACGCGGGACGAAACACCGAGGGCGCAGGGGTGGATTCTGAGAGCGGAGGGCGGAGCTGAGGCCCGTGGCGCACGGCCTCCGTCGTGCCTCCCCCTCTACCGGAATATCTAGGTGGTGCGCTCCAGCCGGCTGCTGGCCGCGGCGCACGGATGGGGCCGTGCGCAGCGAACTCCACCACCGCCGCGATGCTGGGGCTGCTGGTGGCTTCGCTGACCCTGGCGCTCGCCTTCTTCGCGCTGCTGGATGGCTGGTACCTGCTGCGCGTACCGTGCGCCTTGCTTCGTGCCCGCCTGCTGGAGCCGCGCGTCCGCGATCTGCTGGCGGAGCAGCGCCGGGCGGGCCGCGTGCTGCCCTCGGACTTGGACCTACTCTTGCACATGAACAACGCGCGCTACCTGCGCGAAGCGGACGTGGCACGCATCGCGCACCTGACCCGCTGCGGCGTACTCGGGGCGCTGCGCGAGCTGGGGGGACACTCGGTGCTGGCCGCCTCCTGCTCGCGCTACCGCCGCTCGCTGCACTTGTTCGAGCCTTTCGAGGTGCGCACCCGCCTGCTGGGGTGGGACGACCGCGCCTTCTTCCTGGAAGCTCGCTTCATCAGCCTGCGGGACGGCTTCGTGTGCGCGCTGCTTCGCTCCCGGCAGCATGTGCTGGGCACGTCGCCTGAGCGAATCGTACAGCACCTGTGCAAGCGCAGGGTAAGCGGCCCCCTCCCCCGGAAGCCCTGCTGCCACCTTTTCCTTTGTGCCTAGGGCCTTCCTCGCTAGTGCTCTCTTGGGGGCTCCGAGTCCCTAAATCAGCTCTGTGTCAGCTGACTTAGCTAACGCATGTCGGTTCCATCTTCCTCCTTTCTGTCTTCCCAGAGATCCCAGGCAGGGTTTGCCCCTAGGAGGCCAAGTTCTCCAGCTGTGTGGCCTGCAGTGCTGAGCCACCCTCTCTGGTCCTTGGTTCTAAACAGGATGGGTTCAGTTTCTGATGGGTTCAGTTTCTTAGAGAGGGTTGTTGGGCATTCTAGGGGATCCAAGAACCGCATCAGCACAGCTTGGAGCCGAGGGAGGGACTGAGTCCTGGTGCCTGGGTCTGGGGTTGGGCTGACCCCAAGAGCTGCAAGCCTGTCTGCCTTTCCAGAGATAGGAAGAGAAAGGCCTGTCTGCCTAGCCCGAGGCCCTCCACAGGGGCTGCTTGCTTTGGCTCCTGTGTCCTGGCAACCGAAGCCCTCAGGACAGTGGTTGCCACAGGCAGGCTCCTGAGACATGCCAGGACCCACCCCACCCCTGGCCTCAGTTAGTCATGAGGGGCCAACTCTGAGGCTCAGAGTTGATGGCCACTACCCTGTGGTCACAAGCACAGCTCCCTGGTTTTCTCTTTGTTGAGTCAGGAAGCCTCTGAAGGACCTGGATCTTTCTGTCCCCACAGGGCGGGTGCTGGGTTCTGGGTGTTCTTTCCTGTGTCAAGAGTCCAGGGTGGCCATCGAGGTTGTCAGTGTAGGGGCTAAGGGCACAGACCCGGGCATCTTTTCTTTGAAGGAGGGTGGCATGTCCCAGCAGGGATGGTGTGGATGAGGGACTGGCCAGGGCTGACAGAACCAGGGAGATAGCTGGATCTGGCCATGGAAATTGGGCTGGAAGGGGTGGTCCTGAGAGTCAGAGCTGGACTCAGGAGCAGTGCCTGGACTGGACCAGCCCTGGGAACATGCATTTCTTAGTTTTCTCTTGTTGCTGAGACAAAATACCCAACCCCCCATTGTTAAAGGGGGAAAAGATTATTTAGCTCACAGTTTGTGGAGATTTCAGTCCATAATCGGCTGGTTCCAAGGCAGAGTGGCACATGGCAGAGGGGCGTCACAGAGGAGAAACAGCTCATGGTGGGCAGAAGGTAACAAAGCAAGCAAGGGACCTTAGCAGCTTCTTTCTGCCCCTTTTATATTCTATCTAGGCAACCAGGCTTGTGGTGGTGCCAAACCAATCAGTGGACTGATTTTTTAGCAATCACAGCAGATTCAGCTACCTCTGAAAAAGCCCCACCTATGACCACATGAGGCTTTGGGGGATCATCTAGACACAAACCATGACACTGCAGTTCCTCCTTGTCCCAGGCTGCCATGTGGCCATGGCCCTGAGGTGGGGTGGTCATCTGTCTGGCCTCCTCTCATTCTGTGGCTTGCAAAGCTGTCTGTGAAACCCCTAACCCCTCAGGGTGCCTGGGATTTGTGTGCCAGGAGAATGGGGCTGGGTAGCTCCCACACAGCCCTTTCCCTGCCCTGAGTCCCTGCCCTTCCCAAGGTGGCTGGGGTTCCGTCCCCTCCTCAGCAGGATTTTGCCTGGTTCTGGGGATCCAGAGACCTCACACAGGATGCCCAGGGTGAGCTCACAGCACCTGGGAAGCATGGAGCAGGCATTGGAGAGGGGGTTCCTGAAAGGTCACTGGGGCTGGGGAATGGTGTGGGCAGAGGCCTGGCCAGGTGCCCCTTGCTGTGCCCCTCACTCATCCCATAGCAGGTACCTGACAGAGCCTTGCCTTCCTGTCCCCCTGTAGGTGGAGCCCCCCGAGCTGCCAGAAGACCTGAAGCACTGGATCACCTACAACGAGGTCAGCAGCCAGCTGCTCCGTGCCGAGAGTAGGCTCAGCGAGGACACGAAGGACCAGTGACTGCTGCCTGCACCCCACCGCACCCTGCCTCACCCTCAGCCTGGGGGCTGTTGGCCGCCCATCCAGCCTGTCAGTTGGCCTGTCCTGCAGAACAGATATACCAGGCCAGGCTCCTAGGTGCAGTGGGCTTGTGACCGTCCAGCCACCTTCACCTGCCTGACCCCCTCTGTGTTGAGCCCTATGCTGTGCTGGGGAGGGGCCAGCATGAGCACCTTGACCCAGCTCTGTCCCTTGGCTGAGGGTAGATGGGCAGAGAGGCACGAGACAGGGACCAGGGCAGGCCTGGGGCCTGCATCTGACTCAGGGACAGCAGGGCTTCTGATGGGTCAGAGCAGACTTGCCACATAGCTTCCTGTGGCCTCTGTGAGGGTGGAAAAGCCTGGAGTGGAGTCAGGGACGTCAGAGGCCAGGACTGGGGGTAGAGGGACAGAAGCACTTGGAAGGAGGACTGACTAGTGCCTGCACCTCACCATGGGTCCTCAAGGTTCCCTTGTACAGAGTTGGCCCCTGCTGCCTCTTCTGTCAGGCTGGGTAGGGGGACAGTGGGCCAGGAGGATATCACATGGCACAGGGGCTCCTGGAGGGGCAGTAGGCTTCCCTTGCTGGGGATGACCAAGTCAGGAAGCGGACAGAGCTAGAAGGGGGCTCTTATCTGCCTGTGCCCATCAGGACTGCTGTGTGACCTTGGGCTGGACCTTGCCCTCTCTGGGCACCTCTGGCCTTTCACCCCTTGAAGGCTGCCTCCCTGCACAGGAAGGGTCTTTTCACCTTTGTTTTACAGGCCGCTTGCTGTTGTCTGGCCAGACTCTGCCTGCAGCTGATCTCAGGACTCCCTGATGAGGATGCTGGCCTTCTGGCTGGGGAACCCAGGCCTGGAGCAGACTGCAACTGCTGAGAAGCAAAGGCCAAGTGGGGCTGGCCGGAGGCTCTGCCAGTGGCCCCAGCTCTCAGAGGGTGCCCTGCTAGCTGGGGCACGGGCCAGGAGTCCTGCCTGGGGTGCGCTTGCCTGCTCAGGGCTGTTGCCTCTGCCTGTGCCCCTCCTTGTGCCCACTATAGGGACTGCCCTGTAGCTCCAGTGGTGCCTGCTCCTCATCCCCCCTTGCCTTAGCATCAGCCACACGGAAAAGCTGCAATCTTTGTTTTAAAGCACAAGATTAAAGAATTTTAAAGGTGCACATGATAGGAGGTCTTCATTTCTGACCCCCCCACACACACACACAGCAGGAGCCCATTCCTAGGAATGTTTTCTGTCCAAGTTTGTTGGGTTTCGTTGAACCTGGGGATCAGGTTAGCAGGGCAGGACTTGTCTCCATCCCACAGAAGGAGGTATTGAGCCTGGAAAGGAGTGGCCCAAAGTCCCTGGCCAGCCTGCCCTGGCCCAGGATTTCCCTTTCCTCAGAGTCCCAGGACAGGTCTGGGACCCTAGGTTCCTGGAGTCATGGGGCGGGGTGGGGTTGCAGTTGGGACACAGGCTGATGACCTTGGTGACAGAAGGGGGCTGAAAGCGTAGGGGACATACTGCAGACCCTCCAGGTTGGGGTAGTGGGATCCCAGGACAAAGTGGCAAGTTTGGTCACATGGCATAGGGACGCCTGTAGGGGCAATAGGCTTCCCTGCCCTGCGGGGACTGGAAAGGGCCTTGGTGAGATGACTGGGCCTGGAGCGGGAGGTACCTCTCACAAGTGCTCACAGAGGTGCCTATGGCTTCGGTGGTTTGCACCCGGGAAGGGTGGCCACAAGGCCCTGCCTTCCAGCCTCCGGCCCTGGCACTACCCCGAGCCTGTGGCATGTGGGGATCTACTGGGAAGATTTTTCTCTTCCTCTAAGGGTGAGGCTGGTACATCTGTTTGGGGTAAGGAGGCCAAGGGCCGAGCGCAGACAGGGAGTAAGAGGAGGACAGTCGAGGGAGTGCAGCTGAGGGTGGCAGAGGTCAGCACTTAAGGACATGTTTCCTAGTGGGACTGCAGATAGTGGCCCCAAAGGGCTGGGGAGACCTGGGGGTCGGATTGGGGCTGCGAGGCTGCAAGATGAGGAGTTTGGGTCCCACTAGGCACCAAGCGAAGGTGCCTGGGGCTGGAAGGGCATGACCCCAGACCCGGAATTCTGGGTTTAGCGGCCGGACTGAGATACATTCGTCCGTGCGCATGCGCAGGGGGCAGGTGGGCGTCTCCGAAGCCAACCAAGGAGAAAAGCTTTCCCGGTTCCCTGCTGCCCCCGCGGGCCCGGCGGCTTAGCCTCGCTCGGTGTGGAGAATGCAGCCTGGGAGGGGCGACCGGGAGTCTCGCGGGCCTGCAGTGAGCTGCCTGGGAGGGCTCCTTGGATCCGCGGTTCGGGCGCGCCCTCTGCTGGCCACGCCGATGCAATGCTGAGGCCTCTAGCTCCGGGCCGCCGCTGCAGAGGCAGTGATCCCATCTGTCCTCCAGGTGGTGACATCTGCTCACTCCCTACTGTGAGGCCGCGCCCCGGGCCTCTTGACTCCAAACCCAGGGCCAGTGGTTTCTCTGGAAATCCAGCCATAACCCAGGGGGCCCTGGCTGAGGGAACTGCAGGCAGGGTGGGCCCAGGAGCATCCTTTAAGGGAGACCTGTCAGGCAGCGCCTGCTGCTAAGGATGCTGATTCTTAGGGAAGCAGCTCGCTTGGGGTGGCCGCTGGGCTTCCAGGAAGGAGGAGCTCTCCCAGGAGTACTGAGGGACCCTCGCCACCGTTCTGGTTACTCCCTGTGCCATTCAGGTGTCCCAAGCTGGTCACCCAAACTCGAGGCACATCGCTGGTGCCCCAGCAGCAGCAGGTAGTGGGGGAACCCCAAGGTCAAGGCCCAGTGGCCTCTGAAGCCTGAGGCCAAGATCTGCAGGGCAGAATCCAGACAGTGCTCAGCCCCCTTGCAGGAACGTGGGCCTGGGGAGGGGCATTAGGGTCGCTCAAGCGTTGCTGCATCCCCCATGGCAGGTAAAGCACGTGTGGAGGGGGAAGAAGGGGTCTGAAGTCCAGGTCTCCTAAGGAACCTGGCCCCCTTCATGGGGCCCAGCCCCTGCAGGCACCCTGCTCCCTCCAATCCTCTACCTTTGGGGACAGCCCTGGGAGTGCTGTGGGTCCAGCATGGCAGGGAGCCACCCCTGGCTTTCTGGCCTGGGAGAAAAGCTAGCACTGGCTACCGTCTCATCCAATCTCCCCAGCTGTCCGAAGAGGACAGGCAAGCTATTGCCAGAGGCGGTGACTAAGGCCAATGGAGAGGCCAGTTGCCAGGCAGGGGCAGGCAACCTGAGCTCCCTGTGCCTCCTGCTTTTCACCCTCCTCGCTGCAGCCTCATCCACCTTGCCAGGCTAGGCAGAACCAGAGAGTCCCACTACTGGAAGAAACCAGATCCTGACTCTGAGCTTCCTTTCCACTCTGGGGTGGAGTGACCCCCAGGGTTTGAGGGGAGGTTCTTGGGGGGAGGGTTAAGGTTCCTGGGGCTAATAACAGGTCCTGGGCTGAGACATGGGCTATGTTTCAGGAAACATGGCCCAGGCAGCATTTGTGCCACTGTCTCCTCATCTGAGAAATGGTTCCATTAGGCCCCAGATGAGAAGGAGGTTCAGGTGGCCGGAACTTTCCAGGATTCAGCCCAGCTGTCCTGAAGGCCAGCTCTGTGGGCTCTCAGTGCCCAGAAGGCAGAAGTTGTCTCCACCTATGGTTTATTTATTTTCTACAAGCTTAGGGGCAGAGTAAGTGGCCTGAGGCCCAGGGAGGTCAGCTTGCAGAGGTAGGGCGAGATAACCACAGGCAGTGCCAGGCCCTGTCAAAAGAGAAGGTGCTGTGCTGAGGAGCATGGCCCCCAGAGCGGCTAGAACCCAGCTACCTCCCCTGAGTTGCAGAGGTCACGGAAGCAGCAGAAGACAGGATGGGCCACTCCGATGCTGTCGGGGTCAGTGGCCAGGCAGGAGGTGGAGCAGGAGCGGGTCACCATGGGGCTCTGGTTGAAGGGGTACTCTGCAGGGCGGATGGGCATCAGTGCCTGGTTCGCATGTTCTCCTCCCAATGCTCCAGACCTCTACACCTTTGACTTTACCCCTTCTACCGCCTCCAGAACCACCTGTATTTCCCATCCCAGTACTTGTCCATGCCTGCACCCTGACTATGACTTGTTTATTAATAATAACACCAGTGCCTCCTGGAACAGTGTCAGTGCTGGGCCTGACGTGGGAGCCCCCTGTTCCCAGGCTGATAGCAGCCCTCCAACCCTACCCTGCCAGTCTAGGGCAGAGCTGAGGCTGGAGCCATCCACAATGGCCTGGTGTAGGGTCTTTGAGAGGCTGTGCCTTCTACATGCAGGCACCCCCTCTGAGCTGGGAAAGCCCCAACCTAGCTCTTCCTGTCTTTCCACCTCCCAGGCAAGGGGCATAACTATGGCCTCGCAGGGGCTCGGCCTCGCAGGGGCTCAGCCTCACCTGCCTCCACTTTCTCCAGGGTGGTCTTGCAGGCTGTGTCCTCCAGGTTGCAGTAAGTGATGTTCTTGCACAAATGAACGGGTGTGGGCCGGTCACAGGAGTAGCACCTGAAGGCCTCACCTAGACCAGGGGTGGGGGCAGAGCCTCATCACCTGGCCCCAGGGCCCCATCCTGGAGCAGGAGGAAGGAGCTGGAGGTAACCTACTGAGATCCTTTAAGGTGCAGTTGGCTGACATACTACTGCCCAAACCTCAGTCTTGCTTCCTGGAGAATAGAGCCATGATTACTGACCCAGGGTGCAGTTCAGCTCTAGAATCCAGGAGGCTCAGAAAGAGCCTGAAGGATGCCTTCCACCAAAGGCCCCAGCAGCCCTCCCTCAAGGAGCTGTCACACCTAGGCCCAGGGCAGTTTCCCCCCTTCTTGCCACTCACCATAGGCAGCCAAGAGCAGTAGCTGCATTGCCCAGTAGGAGGCCATTCCTGGTGTGCAGGAGTTAGGATCAGCTGGCCCCTTTTGAGGGTTTATACCAGCCTTTGTAGCTCCTGCTCTTGGGCGGTGGTGGCAGAACCTGTGTGACTCAGTAGGGCAGCCTGGAGCAGAGGGGTGAGGGCCATCGGGACTGTGGGTGGTGCCATGTCATGGTGGGAACTGTGTTACTCAAAGGCCCTCAGGAATAGGATCCCTCTGCAGCCACCTGGGCCCTCCCCTCTGCCGGTGTACCTCGATCACAGGGCCCTCACTGCTCCCGACGCCCTGTCTTCCTGGGATGGCTCTGATAGGGAGGCCCTTCACCTGAGCCCAGGCAGACGCTCTGGCAAGCCCCCTCACACCCCAGCTCTGCCTCTTTGGGCTTTCTGAAGGCCACATGGCTCCAGTCTCGGGGTCCTCAAGACCCAAGTGCAGGGAGTCACCTGGCGCCAGGGACCAAGGCTGGTCTCCTGCTTACTGAGACTGTCCACCTGCTCTTCACCCACACACACCAACAAAACTGAGGCCAGGCCAATGTGGAAAAAGGTTAGCCTGAGGAAGTGGGGTGGCTGGGGCTGCTGTGACCTCTCATCATGGCCAGCCCCTCCCTGCTAATGGCCTTTAGGGTGAGCTGGTTGGTTTCAGGCCCTTAATGACAGGGCACTGCCTACCCTCTGGCCCCATGGCCTGACAATTTTTCTGACCTTCTCTCTCGCGGCACACCATCCCACACACATGCCTTTTCCTGTTCTAGGCCTCTCACGGTGTAGACATACTGTCTTGTCTCCCATCCAGTGCCTCAGATCTTCCCCATCCAGGTGCTCCTCCTCCGCAGTCCTTCCCAGATCAGTCTCTTTGGTGTCTGTTTTCCAGTGTCCTAATGGGGAGTTTCATGGCTGGATAGATGGGTAGGTTGGACTGATGGTTGGATTGATGGGTGGAAGGATAAATAGACGGGTAGATGGGTGGAGAATGATGTTTGGGTGGACAATATTTGAAAGAGTAGTGAGGAATGAATAGATGGGGGAACTAATGGCTGGATGGAGGATGGATGAATGGATGGATGGACAGAGGGAGGGATAGGTGGCTAGAAAAGTGGGGGTAGATGTGTGGATGAATAGATCGATGGACAGGCTGAGTGGGCTCTGCGGAGGGCTGGTGAGGGGGGCCGGCTCTGGCATAGAAGAGTCACACTCTGATCTTGAGGCTGGATGGGCTGCTGGAAGGAGCTCTGGCTTGGCACCTAGGAGGCCCAAGTTTTTCTCTTGGCCTTGCAGCTCTCCAAGTATGGTCTCGGGGTGGCCCCTTTGTCCCTCAAGACTTTTCCTGTTTGTAGGTTGCAAGGGTGGAAGTGACCTGGCTTTGTGGGCTGGGGCGAGTTATACAAATCTTTGCAAGAAAGCAAAGGAAGGGCGTGGTTTGCAAAGGGAGAGCCTGGTTACTAAATCAAATCACAGGGCTGCACATGGGGCAGTATGTAAACAATATCGGGGTGGGTCACCCCTGGGGCTCTGTCTACAGACATGCCCAGACATTAGGAGAGGAGCCAGAGAGTGCCTGCTTTTGGAATGTGGTAGACTGAGCCCAGTCCTAGCTCCACCTGGTCTCCCATGTGACCTTGGTATAATCACGAGGGCCTTACTCTGGTCTCCCCTTCTCTAATCTAAAACCTGGGTAGAGGAACATGTGCCCCAGAGGACGACTGTGAAAACTAGTGAGTGGCACTGTAAGCTCCCTGCAGATCACAGAGCAAATGCACTTGGAGCATGGGGGTAGGTGGCTGTGCTCCTGAGTGTGCAGGACAAAGACACTGGTGTGTTGCTAGTTGAGGCTACCTGGAAGGGGCCACTTGCCCTGGATTTGAAAAACAGGGAAATCCTCAGAGTCCAGGTGGCAGGGTGGGGTAGCAACCTGGAGAGGGTACACGCAGCCAGCCCTCTTGCAGGCAGAGCGCCAGCACCTCAGCCCATCTCTGAGCCCAGCATCCAATCACCAGGTATAAAAGCAGCACTGTGTCTGGGTCAGAGAGCACCTGCCCTTGCAGGATTTATGCCCTAGGTGGACAGCTGCTCTCTTCTCCTCCCACCTCTCTGTGAGTCCATGCCCTCCCCACAGGACCCAGGTGTGGAACCAGGAGATGGGGTTTGAGCCCAGTGTGTGTGACACAGAGGGGCAGCTCACCTCACTGAGTCTGAGAGTCCTTGTCCAAATCCCCAAGCCCTGCAGCTGGGGACAGGGCTATTCCACAGACCCAGGTGAACCCTGGCCCTGCCAGTTGTGTGCGGTGTGGCCATTGGCAAGTCATTTCTCCTCTTTTCTGAGCCTGTGTCTAATCTGTAAACTGGGATGATGATTCTTTCTACTCCTCAGGGATGCTGGGCAGCAGAGATGGGGGGATATGTGTAAAAACTGCCTAAGCCATGCAAGACTGACAGTAGAAACGAACTGAAGCTCTGATGGGGCACACTTAAGTTCTATCTCCCACTGCCTGACCATTACAGGGACACAGAAACTTCAGAGCCCTCCAAGCCTGGCCAAGCACCGAAGCAATCCTCAAGATGGAGCCACACCTGTCCCCTCCTACCCAACTGACCATTGCCCAATTCCCACAAGCCCCATTTTTCCATGAGGTCACCTTGTCCGTCTCTGGGAGTCTGCTTCCCCTTTCTTGGCCACTCCTTCCACTCAGAGGCAATGGCTAAAATGCAAATTGCACCAGGAACTGCTTCCCAGAAACCCTCCCTGGCTCTCAACTACCTTCAGGATACAATTAAAGCCCCAACCCTACCTTGGAACTGGATGCCTGCCCCACCCTTCCTGGACTAATGCTTGGGTCAGACAGCACCTGGAATTTCCATTCCTGTAGGACTCCTTCAACTAAGCCTGGCAGTGCTAACTATTGAGCAGCATTGGCTGCTAGATGGAGGGATGGATGGGGGGATAGATGCATGGTTGGTGAGTGAATAGAGGATGGATGGGGTAGGCGGGTCAATGAATGGATAACAATGGATGAGAGAGGTGAGTGGGTGTATGGTTGGATAAATATAAGGGTAAGTGGGGTGATGGGTGGACGGGTGACAGGCTGGAGGATATATAGGATGGGTGGGTGGCTGGATAGGTGGATAAGTATGGATGATAGGATGGGTGGATGAATGGCAGCATGAGTGAGCATATAGATGGATGAAAAGATGTAGGATGAGTAGACAATGGTTGGATAAAAGAGCAGATGGATGGATGGGTGGGATTAGAAGTGTCTGGGTAGTTGAAGACATGGGACTGATGTTTCTTTCAAAGAGACCCAGGACAGTGCTGGCTGTGGCCCAGCCTAAACTCTGTCATGGAACTTAAATTGACCTTTCCCCAGGGTAAAAATGTCCTGTGGCCTGACAAAACTAATTAGCACAGGCTTGGATACCCCTGGAGTTAGAGAGCTCATTTCCTTCTTGGGGAATCCCCTGCCCTTCTAAACAGATCTATCTCAGCCCTTGTTCCTTTGAGGTCCAATTTGCCCTTATGATACCCGTGCCTCCTGGTCCTGGCCCTGTGTTCAGGCTGCAGAACCAGACACACCTTACCACTATAAACAGCAGCTAACTGAGTTAAGTTCCTGCTTGGCTTGACCTGTGGAGCCTGAGGTTTTGGGCCACAGACAGGTACTGAGTGACTCTCTTGGGTCTGGCTGCTGACCAGACAGAGGGCTGGAGTGGGGAGGGAAGAGGCAGGGAGAAAGGAGGTAACTGCCGGAGCTTGAGCAAGGGTTGCCAGTGGACACAGTGGAAGGAAGAGTCCTGCTGCTGGTGGGTAGTGCTGTTGCTGAGGAGTGCTGGCCATGGCTGAGCTCCAGAAGCCTACACTATCATCTTCCTCAGCAAGATGGCTGCCTTTCCCTGCCCACACTAGGGTAGAATACTGGGCCCCCAAGACAGGTAGGGAGCTGTGAAGACCCTGGGAACAGCAAGGTGGGCTCCTTGTTGCCCTTATAGGCTAGTGCTGGTTCCAGCCTCACCCTGGCCCATGGCCAGGCTTGCCATGCAGGTGTAGGGCTCCCTCCTGGGGGTGCTGAGGCAGGGTGCTCATCCCTGGCCTGAGCGGTCATGGCCATCAGCTCAAGAGAGGATCTCTTTGCTGCTTAGGACAAGAGTGAGGCCAGAGACCAGAGACATCAGTCCTGATTTCGGGAACAGAGGTGAAAGGTGCCGGAGCTGGCAGGTCCCGGGAAAGGAGGAGAGTCCACCTCATCAACCAGCCCAGGAGTTTGAGTGGCCTGGGCCACCAGACACTGGGCTCAGCTCTTTCTTTCCCCATCTGCTCCTGGCTCCTCTTCCAGCCCAAATTTGGGGCCACTGGCTTCTTTGTTCCCCATCAAACTAAGTCCTTCCCTGTTTCCTACAGGCCATGGAACTATTTGGGCCTCCACATAGGTGGGGCCCTGGTTCAGGCTGGGACCTGGCTGAAGCACCCCTTTCCACCTTACTTCCCCACCAGTGAGGCTCAAGGACTCAGGCTGAAACAAGTCCAGGACAGGACCAGGTTCCCAAAAGGGAGGCTCATAGCCCGTGAGACTGAGATCAAGGATAGAGCTCTAAAGCTTGGTCCTACAGCCTCACACATAGCCGGTGCCAGGACAGATACCATGAACTGAACCCTTCCCCTGTCACACACTGAGCCTTTACCCTGGTTACAGACTAAACCTGATCCTTGCTTCTGGTCTGAGTCCTGCTCCTTGGTCATAGACAGAGCCCTGATCTTGATCACAGGTTGAGGCCTGATTGATAGCCACAGCTGGGCCTGGTCTCCAATGCTGGTGGACTACATGTGTTTTGTAGGGTGTGCTATGATGAGAGGATCGAGTCTCCCTCTTGACAAAGTCAAAGCTCAGAGTCACACCTCCACATGGGGGCACTCAAACCACCACTAAAGCTCCCAGCCTCCCAGGTACCCCCATTCCGGGAGGATGCAGCTACTCTGTCCCCAGGGACCTCCAGGCAGATGGTGGCCACACTTGCAGTCACTTGTGCCCTAGGGCCGGTGGTGGCACTCACTGGGCTGTGGGAACCCTATCCCTCCACCCCAGGAGCTGGTCCAGGATTGCAGAGCAATAGGGGTAGCAGGTCTTGCCCATGGGAGGCAGAAGTGGGGAGCTCCTGGGTCCCAGGGACTGGAGACCCCCTGGTTTCTCCCTCCAAGCAAAGGAGCATCCTCTGTGGTGCTTGGCCATAGGACCTTCACCCCAGGATGGCCTCCCTCTATCCAGGAGCAGGAGATCCTTGGCGGGGGTGATGGCTGAGGGGCAGGCCCCCTGGACTCAGGGTTGTGGGCTGGGGCCATGCAAGGAGGAAGGTGGCCTAGCCCATCTCACCTTGGCTGGAGGCCAGCTCACCCAGGGCCCTGGAGCAGGGAGGGGAGGTGGGGGCAGGTTCAGCTAGGGCCTGCAGGGTTGGAGAAGAGAGGCGGATGACAGGGGGCCCTGGCAAGCGATCTCCTTGGGTCCAACCTCTGCCCACCCTGGCCAGACTCCCTGCAACCCCTGAGGGCCTAAGGGGAGAGGTCTGCCTGCTCTGTGTGTCTGTCTAGTCCTGGTGACTCTCTTTGCTAATAGGGTGGAGCTTAAACCCATCGAAGGAGATAGGAGAGACAGACAAAGGGGACAAGCCTGAAATCAGCCAGCCGGGAGGCCCCTCCCTGGCCCAGTGCAGATCTGTGCCCAGAAAGGAGACTCAGGAGACGGGGGCAAGAGGCCCTGCACTTCTTTAAGACATCTGGGGGTGGGGTGGGAGGCGGTGGGGCAAACTGGCTTAGAGCCCAAGGCCCATGAGGTGCGCTAGAGGAAGGGCAAAGGCAAGGGCCAGGCTGTGGGCACCACCCAGCGCAGGTGCCCTGTCCACGTTGCACAGGTCAGTATTGCAGCAGGAAACAGGCCGGGTCTGTCCGATGCCATCCACGTCCGAGGGCTCACACCTGCTGGAGCAGGACTTGGTCACTGTGGAGTCCCCCAGGAAGGGGAACACTGTGGGCACAAGAGTGCAAGTTGTAAGGGCCAGTCCTTTTCTGCCTCTAAGCCCCAGCCCTAGGGGCCACCTGCTTTGGGTAACCCATCCCAGAGGCCTCAGTTCCCCCATGCTGAGCCTGTAATGTGCCAGGGACACGTGAGGCTTCTTGCCCTGGGGTTCCTTGCTGGATAGGTGATTTCCACCCAATTCAGGTAAAACCAAGCTGTAAGTAGTATGAAAACAACACTGAGATTCCACCTCACCCCAGAAAGAATGACTGCTATCAAGAAATCAACCAATAACAAATGCTGGTGGGGGGTGTGGGGAGAAAGGAACCCTTCTCCATTGTTGGGGGGAGTGCAGACTGGGGCAACCACTGTGGAAATCAGTACGGAGATACCTCCTCAAAGAAGTGGAGCTAGAGGTCCCATTTGACCCAGCTATTCCCCTGCTGGGGATCTTCCCCAAAGAATTAAAAGAATCATACCACAGTGATATATGTGCACCCATGTTCATAGCAGCACAATTTATAAGAGCTAAAACTTGGAAGCAGCCCAAGTGCCCATCAACTGGAGACTGGATAAAGAAGATGTGGGGTTTTTAATAAAATAGAGTACTACTCAGCCACAAAGAATGAGAAACTAGAGACATTTATAGCTAAGTGGATGCACATTGAGGCAATACTCTTAAGAGAAATAAATAGGACACGTGTAAATACTGAATAGTTTCTCGGGTGTGAAAAACTAAAAGTGTAAATTAAGGATCAAAATGTATAATTGATATTGTGCAATAGGAAAAAAAGGTCTAAAGGAGTAGGGGAAGTGGAAGGGGTAGGGGAAAGGAAAGAAGGGAAAAGAAAAAATATGAGAAAAGGAAAAAAAAAATGGAAACAAAGCCTGCGTAAAGAGGAAGAGGTGGAGAGGGTGAAGGGAGGGCAGGGGAATGGGGAAAAAATAAAAACCAAGATCCATCATGTACAGGTACAAGTTCCCAATGTTGAATGTAACTGTATTGTATACCTAAAATGTACCAATAAACTTAATGGAAAAAAACAAAACAAAAAAACCAAGCTGTAAGTAAGCCACCCTTCCTGGTGACTCCCAACCAGGCTGGAGGGCCCTTTCACTAAGACAAGGGAAGGAGGCAGGAGGAAGGGACAGGGATAGACAGCCTTTTCTTACAAGTGAGTGGGACAGTGGCTGTCCCCTGTAGGGGTCCCAGCAGGCCAGGCCCTGACCCGGGTCACCCAGTACCTACTGACCCATCTCCAAGGAGTAGAGCGTGGTCTTGCACATGGTTTCGTTGGCATTGCACTCGGTGATGGTGATGCAGCTGGATACAGTCGTGAGTTCCTGACAGGTGTAGCACCGCAAGGCCATCACTGAGAGGGTGATGAGGGGTGGCTGGGTCAGGCACCTCCCCCATCCAGAAACAGTCTAGGAGTGATCATTACTCTGTCCCAGAGACCCCCGTCTGAAGGCACAATGACACTAGGCAGTTTAACAAAGGCATCTTCTCCTCGGGGTGGGATGCTGGTGGGCAGGGCCCTAACCAATGGGCCCCAGGGAGCTGCCTGACTCCCACTAGCCCATGCAGTTCAGGTGCACAAGTTCAAGCGCAGCCTGGGAAATTTAGTGACTTAGTGAGACCCTGCCTCAAAATTAGAGTAAACCGGAGTGGGGGGTGCTGGGAATGTAGCTTAGTGCAAAAGCCCTGGGTTCAACCCCCAGTACCTCCAAAACAGACACTAGAAACGCTTCCAGGCCAGCCTGGCCCTGAACCTGGGAGGTGGCTGCTTTCCTGCCTTCACAGGGCCCAGGCCCCTGTCCGGCGCTGGCTGTACCGCCCTCCTTCTTCCCTCCTTAGACCTGGCTAGTGGGAAGCTGTTCCCCCAGCTCTGCCCCCTGCCCCTCCAATGCCTCCCTGTGAACAGGTGGATGTTAGATGGGGCTTGCTGGGGAGGTACACCCTGAACACAATGCAAGTCTCTGTCCCCAGCGCTCCCACTGCCCCTCGCCCCTTGCTCCTTAACCTCACCGAGCTCCCTGTGGGCGGCCAGGGCCAGAACCAGCAACACCGGCCACATCCTCTGCCTGGTTGGCTCCTCGTCCTCTGCCTTCCAGGCTGAAGGCCAAGTGCGGTGGTCCAACAGGTCAGCTGAGCGGATTAGCAGGATCTGGTTTCCCTAGGGTGGGGGTGCGGAGACCCCGCCCAGCCCTAGAGCCCCTCCCCTCCTTTTAAACACTGGTCTTCCAGGCACTGCAGCCTCTTTCTGAACACTCAAGTCCACCCCTCCTCCCTGCCCTTCCTCATTCCTCCCCCAGCTGGGGCCTGACCCTTCTTCCCTGGCCTGGGCCCACACCCTCTCCCCTTGGAACCCTCCCCTCTGCATCTCCTGGCTGGGGACCCTCCCTGACTCCTCACTCCCTCAGCTTCCTCTTCCCTCTGCTCGGGTCCAGGCTCGGCCTGCCTGGAAGGAGCAAGGGGTGGTGGGGGCTCTCCTGCTAGCCTCCTGCGCAAGGTTCCTTCACCTCCATTCATGGTCCACAGCCATGGGGTGGAATCTCCCCAGAAGATCTTGCCAATCCAGCTCCTTTGAAATGATTAGTGCAGAGCGGGAGGCTGTGGGCTGAACTGTCCCTCCCCTTCAGCCCAGAGTTTGTTCAGAGGCTTAAGGAACAAAGACAGAAAACTGCTAGGCCAATAGGAAGGACAAGGATGGAGGTTGAGCTGTGGAGGGCCCAGGGTCCCCCTGGGAACCCTAATCCCATTGTTCACTGGAGGCCAGCCCTGCTCTGCCCATCAGCACACTTGGGTCTTTCCTGGGTCTGGGGCAGCCTCAGGCAGAACTTTTCTGGCCTGATTGCTGGTAAGAAAATTGAGGGAAGTTCCTTGGCCTTGGGAAAGAGTTGAATTTGGGTGCTAATGTCTCCTGGCAGGACTGTCCGTGGTTTCCCACTGCCCATGTGTACCCCACAGTACCTGATCACCCCTGCTCAATCCTCCCTAATGGTCAAGCCACAGTCTCATTGGGCTGGCTCAATTCCTATGGGGTCTAGGTGTCCAAATCTCACTCCTGGGCTTTGCTCCTGCTCCCCAGACTGCTGGGAATGCCCCTCCCTCATGCCCCTCCAGTTATGTGGGGACTCTGTGCCCCTTTTATGGCCCCTAGGCTTCCTTGTGGGGTCTTTACCACTGGCATGGGCTGAACCCTTGCTTTCCTGAGTGCTGGGGAAGACCGAGAGTGCTTCAGGGGTGGTGTGTGGGGCCCAGGCTTCCCCCATACCCAGCGCGAGTCAGAGACAGCCTACTGGATCTTATTTTTCCTCACAACTCTGGAGGGTCATAAACTGATGAGTTTTAGTTTGGATGAAGAAACTGGCTCTGAGAAGCTAATTGGCTTAGGCAGGTCACCTAGCAAGCCGGCAGCAGCCCAAGCCTGTCTGATTTTGCACATCCATCACCAGGCAGCCAGGCTGCGATACTGCAGTCAGCAGGTTGCACTGCAGCTACCTGGATCGAACACCCCCCACACCCAGGTGTCTCACAGGGCTAGCCCAGTGTCCTGCACAGTTGCTGGGTTCCTTCCTGTCCTCAGGCCCAGCGTTCCACCTGTGCCTCTCGCCCAAACACATGCCCAGCCTCCAGGTGTGGGCTCCTCCTGGAGTTTCCATCTGATTCTCCCTAGGCAGACCCAGGCTGCACTTTTTGGCAGAGTGGCAGCTGCCTGCTTGGGGTGGGGAGGAATGTGGCCCAGCCAAGGTTTGGGCTGGCTCTATCTAGGAGGCCTACACCCTGCCCGGCTCAGTTCCTCAGGGATCTCTGGGGCAGGGCTCAGAGTGTGATCAGGATCAAGGTTTAGCCTGTGACCAGGGAGAACCTGCACTGGGGTTGTGAATCTGCCTGGGACATGCTGACCTCAGAATTGACCCTTGAACTGTGATGCTGTGATGCAGGGAGCAGATACCACTCTCATGGTGCATGGTGGGATTCCTTGTATGGAGTCCCTGTCCAGACCTTGCTTGGACCCTCCTTACAGGTCAGGATGAAGGTTCAATTCTTTCAGGGAGGAGGATGGCAGGCCCTCAGGGAGGCCACCCCTTGCTCTGGGGCTGTTTCTGCTGATAGTTCAGTGAGTCAGAGAAAGCCCAGTGTGGAGTGGGCACAAGTGCATGGTCTCCAGTGTCCTCTGCCACTCAGCATCCCATGGTCTGTGGTACTCCAGTGTCCCATGGTCTCTCCTTGCCCCACTGTCATTCAATGTCCTGTGGTTGCTCAGTACCCCCTGTCACCCATACCTGTCACATTCTGTGGGCCAGTGTCTGAGCTCAGCTTTGTTCTGCTCCAGGACGGGGGCCCAGCTAGTCTAGTGTTGGCAGGCCTATATCATCTGGGGGGCTCCATGAGGGGTATTATGGTCAAGGCAGGGGAAGTTTCTGGCTACATCTGGGAAATCTTGCCCTATTCTGACTTGAGTACACAGACTTCTGTTGTGGGAGCTAGTGCTCTCCACCCAGGCCTCAAGATTTACTTTGGCCACAATCACCCTCAACCCAAGCAATGCCTGCTGGGAGTGCTGCTGCCCTGTCTGTCCACACTCTCCTCCCCAGCTGCCCCTGGGATGCTTCCTCCTGTGGCCAGTCTCCACTCCAGGAAGATCAGGGTGTCCTCACAGGGGTCCTGGCTGTTCTGCCCCCTCTGAGGAGCACCCTGCAGAGCAGAACACTGGCTCTCAAGCTGAGGTTTCTATATCTGAAGGAAGTAGCCTGGGCCTCAGGATGTTTGTCCTGTCTTCTGGCACATGGGTACCCCACAGTCTAGCCTCTGTACATGTGTGTCAGGTACAAACAGCACTGCACACAGCATCATACATCTTCTGAGAACCTGTCCTTTGCATCCTCCAGCCATGTAGCCGGGGATGGTTCTGGAAGGGTGGTTCTGTGTAAACTGAAGCTTACTGTCCCTGGGACTGTGCCCTCCCCCCATGGCCATTGCTTTGCTTCCAAGGAGATACAGTGGCAAATACATAACCATAATTTATTGACGATATTCCCTGGATACCCAGCACTCTTCAATAGTAACCAGTACATTGGTATTCTTCAATACTAACCAGCTCCAGCCTCGGAATCCTAAACCCTTTTCTCAGGGTCTCCAGCCAGGTTCCTAGATCCCACCAGCTGCGGGTGTCTGGGGCAACACTCTGGGAGCCAGTGTTGGACGTAACACGAGGGACACTTCCGAGCTCTTCAGTGCTCTGATCCAGCATGGAGGTGTTGCCTGGTCCTTTCTCAGTGCTCTGTATCTCCTTGGTGTGTAAATTTAGAGAGCACTTACTGCCTCTGATCCTGAGTGCTGTGGCTTTCTTCCTTTTGTTTGACCACCCAGGGGTCTTTATCTTCGACCTTGCTGGGTGAGCCTTTGCCCATTTCCTGCAGGTGCCACCTTCCTGGGGACCTGTAAGTGTCTGCCACACAAGGAAGACTGCATCCTTCTCAACACATATGGCAAATGTTTCCTACTGTCAACTGCCTTTTCATTTTGTTATGGTCTTTTCCTTCCTCCTTCCTTCCTTCCTTCCTTCCTTCCTTCCTTCCTTCCTTCCTTTCTTTCTTTCTTTCTTTCTTTCCTCTTTCCTTTTCTTTTCATTTTTTGTAAGACAGAGTCTTGCTATGTAGTCCAGGCTGGCCTTGAACTCACTATGTAGCCCCAGGCTGGTCTCAAATTCACAGAAATCCTCTTGCCTCAGCCTTCTCAGCGCTGGGATTACTTTTCATATGTGTTTTTAAAAAGATGTTTATGTAGTCATTTATGAATCTTTCTTAAACTGGATTTTGTATCTTGTCTTTTTCTTTTTCATTTTTTACATCTCTATTGAATGTACTTCAGATGCTGTGCAGCTTATCCATTTAAAGAGTGCAATTTGGCAACTTTTAGTATATTCACTGACACATGGAAACATTTCCAGTCAGGCTAGCATTTTTCATCATGTCAGAGAGAAACTCAGTGCCCTTTAACCATTACCCCAGTTCCACTAATCCTGTGGCACTGTGAAATGTATATTTGGTCTTCATCCCAGTTTCTCAGCATACAGCTCTTAAAATTCTTGGAATTGAGCTGGGCATGGTGGCACATATTTGTAATCCCAGTACTCTAGGAGGCAGAGGCAGGAGGGTTAGAAATCCAAGCCTAGCACGGGCAACATAGCAATTTATCGAGAAAATATCTCAAAATAAAAAAATAAAAAAGGGCTGGGGATGTAGCTCAGGCCCTGGATTCAGTCTTCAGTACTGGAAAACCAACAATCAATACAAAACAAAACTCCTCTCAGAATCTTTAGAGTAATACAAGTGTCTTTTGTGAGCTAGAGGCTTGTGGAAGATCACTGCATAATTAGAGGGTGGGGCTTTCAGCTTACCCCCAGCCTCCTCCTCCAGGGACCAATGATAAAAAAAAAAAAAGAACAGGATTCAAGGGCCGGGATGTAGCTCACTGGTGCCACACTGCCTGTCTCGCAATCACAAGGCCCTGAGTTTAATCCCCGGTTCCAAAAAAAAAAAAGAACAGGATTTAAGGAACTGCCTTCCCTGCCTTCCCATGCTGGGTGGAAGGGTTTCCTGGATGGTCACATGCTCACAGAGGGCATGGGAGCTCTGTGTCCCCTCCCATACATCTCATCCGTGCATCTTGCCCACTAATGGTCATCGGTATCCTTTGTCACTTCCCAGAAAATAAGTGGGAAACACAAGCAGAGCACATCCTGAGTTCTGCAAGCCACTCCACCTAGGTAAACACCAGGATGGGTCAGTGAGAAGCAGGACGGACTGGGGGCTGGGCTTGGCATCTGAGTGGGGCCATTTGTGGGTCTCACACCTTCTCCAGGTGAGCAGTGGAAGAATTAGGTTGAATTAGAGGAGGCCCAGCTGGTGTCTGCTGCAGAATTGCTGGGTTTCTGGCGTGAAAGTTGATCCCAAGAGGAAATGGTTCTTGGGCAAAGATAGAGTCTGGAAGTAATGGGGAGAGGCCCACCTGCATGCCTGAGATAAACACTGTCTTGAGGGCCTCCCAAGAGCCCCAGAAGAGAGTCCTTGTTCTACACACACCCTACGATTTGCACCTACAAGCACAGATTTCTGTAACAAAGTTTATCTTCCACCAGAACTCAGCCAGATACCTACATCACTGACCTGACACCAGGTCCTGCCTCACTGGTGTCTGGAAGACCAAGAGCTGGTATCTAAGCCCCTGGCACGAATGTTTCCATGTTCCCTTTTAAAACTCCTCCGGCCTCAGCATCTATGACTATGCCTGTGGTTTTCTATGGCACACACATTCCCGTTACAGAACTCTGTTCTCTGTTACTCCCAAATAAATGTCATTACTTTTTGGACTCTCTCTCTCTCCTTTCTCTCTCTCTCTCTCTCTCTCTCTCTCTCTCTCTGTCTCAGATGAAAGAGAGAAAGCCACCTCTGTTTTGGTGTTTTGCTTCAGAGGTGAAACATAGTATTGACTGGTGTGAGCAGGAACTGCATTCCATTTTCCCCACCTCTTAGGAACTCCCCATGAATCCTGGGTAGCCACTAATCTATTTCCAGGTTATCTGGATTTCCTCACTCCGCCATTTCACGTCAGCAGGGTCATAGGATATGTGCTGTTTTGTGTCTGGATTCTTTCAGTTGGCAAGATGTTTTCAGATGTCACCCATGTTGTGCCACATGTTAGTACCTCATTTCTTCATACAGTTGAATAACATCCTGTGGTTTAGTTAGGTCATCTTTTGTCTATCCCTTCATCAGTTGATGGACATCTGGTTTTTTCCACCTTTTGGCTGCTGTGAATATCGCTGCCGTGAACATTTGTGAACCAGTTTCCATGTGGGTAAGTTTCCACTTTTCTTGGGCGCATATGCCTAGGGGCACCATTGCTGGGTCACTTGGTAACTCTGGGTTTAATGGGCTGAATAAGTAATTAATTGTTTAAGAGACTAGAAAAGCGAGTTTGAGAAATGAGTCTTATTTTTCTCTTGAGTTGTCTACCATTTAAATAATTTCTTTCTTTTTACATTTAAATCTCTGATTGCACTGAAATGCCTTGTGACTTAGTGAGAGAGGTCAGAGTGGGTTGGCCGGCTAAGCTGCCAAGGTGGCTACTGTCCTGAGAGCCACCAATAGCACGTCCACAGTCTTCTGCATTGCCTGTGTGTCCAGCTGTCTCTGTCTCTCTCTGTCTAGGATGACATTGTTTGTTGGATCACTCTTTGCTTGGGGCACCCCCTTCTCACAGGCATTAGGTTTTCCTTATTTATTTTCATATGAACTTGGCCCAGGAGGAACCAAAACGCCCCTGGAGGGCCAGGGCATAGATCTTGACAGGTGCCGACATGTCAAGGAGGAGCCTGTGTACTATAGTTGCTGACATGCATCAGTGTCTCTGAAACCAGGAGCCCAAAACAGCCCAGGGCCTGGCAAGGAGCCACTGAGTAAATATTTGTGGAGTGAGGGAGTAACTTCTACAAACATCAGCTCACAAAACTCCCATGTCCACCCTGAGATGAGTGTTCACAGCTGTCATGGCAGCTCTGTCATCTGCCTCACAGCACACTGTCTAGCACCGGGCCTGCGGGCTGGTGCAGTGACTGCAAGAGCCAGAGGGAGCGTTGGTGCCCACAGCGGGCACACAGAGTATGGGCCAGGCTCCCTGGGAAGCAGGTGAGGGGAGCAGGGCAAACACACAGGAGAGCTGGCGCTGAAGGAGGGGCCAGGAGGTGGCAGCTTTCCCATCAGTCCACCAAGGTGGGTGACAGAGAGGGGCACCCCAGGCTCCAACCCTCCTTCTTCATCTCCTGGCCCTTCCCCCCTTGGGCAGTTTGGGCTGAGGGTCCTGAGCCCATTTGTGGCCCCTACACCTTTCAGGCCTGGCACCTGGCTGGGGGCTAGAAGGGCTGCTAGTGGGTGAAGGTGGGTTGGGAGGAGCTGTTTGGGACCGATCGGGGTGAGGAGGCCATAGCTGGAAAGGGGTGGTAAGGGCCAAGGTGTTGCCTGAACTTGCTGTCCCATGGTCCAAGCCTAGTGTACCCTCTGCTCTCACTGGACAGCTCGTGCCATGTGATTTGGTCACATTTTATTGGGGGTGTTTGTCAGGAGCGGGGAGGTGTCATGCAGGGAGGGCTTCCAGATTATAGTGAGGTGGATTTGGGCAAGACTTCTTGCAGGACTTCTCAAGGAAGAATGGGTTCAGAGCAATGTGAGCCAGACCTGCTGTGAGGGCCTTCAGAGCCAGGCCTGGCTGGGGAAGAGGTGCTCAGTCATGGTTGCAGAGACTGGACTGGCAGCAGGCGACAGACACATGGGGACCCAACCCCAGGCTGGAGACATCGGGGCAGCCTCTGTAGCACATCTTGGTGACCAGAGGCAGGTCTGTAAAGCTGATGGGGGACCCTTGGGGGTAGGAGAGAAACCGCAAATGTCCTTGAGGCTCTGAGCCACCCAAACTCCCTTGTCCCACCTTTCACTGAGCCGAGGGCCACCCCTGGGCAATCAGGCATGTGGGCCACCAGGGAGTACTTGCTGGCCCTCACAGGGACACTGCCTAGGGTGGAGGTGATCCCCAGGAATGTCAGGCTGAGAAACAGAAGGACAAAGTTGCATGGGTCACTGGAGGTCAACTGCCTGGGCCTTGCTCTGGCCAGATGTCCCGGGTTTGCTCCTTACCTGCTGGGCACTGGATGAGGCTCAGTCCCCTCTAAACCCAGATCTCCCAACTGGAGCAAGAAGGATATGGCCAATCCACCTGCCCACCCCACTTACGTGTGGCAATGATGACGCAGTGTGTGGAGCTCCCTGAACAGCTGAACACGTGGGAACATCCTCCGAAACCCTTGCACCGGTGGCACTGGAGGCCCTGGGCTGTAGCTGCAGGTGGGGACAGACAATGGCACAGAGCACGCAGGTGGCAACTCTTGCAAGCCCAGCTCCCACCCACTACCCAGCGCCCACTCCTATTTGTAGCCTGGCCCCTCCACTCTGTGAGTCAGCTTCTCAGTCCATCTAGACCTTGGTGTGTGTGTGGTGAGAGGGAAGGAATCCACCATGTACCAAGCCCCAGGTGAGGGACAGGCCAGACCCTGGCATTCAGCCCTGTTGTCACTGGGCACAAGTGACCATGTTGGGGCCAGCTGGGCTGTGTCCCTTTGCCCAGGATGTCATGTGCTGGAAGGAGTAGGGTGAAGTCCCCCCAGAGGAGTGGAGGGGTGCAGCCTGGGCTTTGGGTGGAGCTGGGGTGGCAGGGGTCAGGGAGGTGGCCATGCCCACTTCCACCTTTAGGCCCTATAGACCCATTGGGCCTCCATTCTGGGGCTGAGATCATGGGGCGTTTTCCCCTTTTGCAGAAACCAGGGCCAGGTTGACCAAAAAGAGTGCAGGATGCAGGGTAAGTTCTATTTGCCTTTTTTTCTGCCAAATAACTGTCTTTGTCCCCAGCCCTGTCTTTGGCCTTGGTGCTCCATCGAGCTCTGCCCTGCTCTCCCCCACCCACTTTGTCCTCCACCCAGTGTCTCTGCTGCTCCCTGGCTCTCTCCTCTTGGTGCCCAGCCTCAACTCCTGCCTCAAGTTCACGGGTAGAGGAGAGCCTGGTGCTCCCAGGGTGCTCTGGAGCCTGCAGAGGACACTGGCCCTGCCTGACCTCCTCAAGCTGTACTAAGGAAACTGAATCAGGTGCCCCATCAGTGGGCCTGCACATAGCATTCTGTTTGGGGGCTGAGCTCCTCCTAGTTCCAGAGGGCCGCAGCAGCGCAGGCTCACCACAGTCTCCAGGTGCAGAGGCCCTTGTCAGCCCTGAGGCTATGCACTTCGCAGCAGGTGACAGGAAACCTTGACCATGGCAGGGCCCCTGCCATAAGCCTTGATTGTCTGCCACCCCTGCAAGAGGGAACTAGGGCCTCATCTCAGTGGCCACCAAGCCCATGCGCCTTGCCCCACTACAATTGCCAGGCCACTGAGGCTGTCACATCAGGCCCAGTGGTGGCTTGACAGGCCGGGCATGTCATTCTGGACACTGATGAATGAGCACAGCATACTTGGGGCAGTGGCAGTGCAGGAGACAACTGGGACACCACAGGGCACAGGTAAGGTGCCAAGGAGAAGCTGCTCCTGCCTCCCTCTGCCCTCCCCTGGGCATCCTCCCAGTGCCTCCTGGCTTTGCACTGGCTGTTTCTTCTGACTTCCTGGCAATACAAGCTCCAGCTCAAAGGCTCTCTCCTCAGGCAGGCCTCTGGAGTATCCTGGCAGAGATCATAGCCTCCTTTGACATACCCATCTCCAGCTGCAGAGTTCCAGTGCCTTGTGGCCATGTCATCCTGCCCAGGGCTCCCTCCCAACAGGGAGGCCTCTAAGTCGGTAGGGCTCTGTTCCCCCTCCTCTGGGTCCTCCCAAAATATACATCAAACCAGAACCCTCCCCTGCCCCAAATGAGGCTCAGGAGAGATTTGTGGAAAGAATAAATGAGAGAATTCTAGGGCTGGGGGTGAGGGCAAGGCTAGGTTATCAAGAAAAGAAAGACTTTTGTTCCTTATCCCATGCATTTGCATTTTTATGGATGAGGTGGAGGAAATTTTAGCTCCCAGAAATCAGCCACTGGGGTGAGGGAGAGTTGGGACCCCAGGACAGAGCACTGAGTGGCCCCTGCCATTCTGAATGGGGTTCTCCAGTAGGGAGGACCATGAGGTGGGCTCCAAGGGCAGTAGATAAGGTACAGTCCTGCTGGCTGCAGGGCTGTGGGCAGCATGTGCCCTCTGGTTTCACTTGGGTGTAGGGTAGCCAGCCCCAACAGGCTGCTGTGAGCCCTGGGAGATGGCATTGCCCATGGGTGGCAGGGCAGGCACCCAGCTACAGCATGTGGCATGCGGCACTCTTGGGAGAGGCTACAGGCCCTGACCCCCGCAGTCCTCCAACTGGAAAAGCCATGGCCAGGTGTGTCCCTGTGGCAGGTGAGATTTCCCAGAAGGAGAGGTTAGGGGTTGCTCTTGTGGGGGGCGATCTCGGGTCAGAGATGCTCCTGGGATACACTGGCCTTGGTGCAGACGAGGAGGGAGGCCTGGTGATGGCAGAGTCCCTGCCCTGACAGAGACAAAGCCTTTTCCACTTTGAGTTCAGGGTCCCATGGGGCCCAGAGGGTCTCTGGCCCTCAAGACAGAGCTGTTCTTCCCTGAAGACCTTCGCTTCTCAGTGGACAGGGTCACATGGGGTCTTCGGGGGTGGTTCCTGCGCACAGAAACTTCTGAGTCTGCACCAAAGATGCATACATGGGCCTTGTGCCCTATCTCAGGTGGGCTTATGGACCCTGGGCATCCCCATCCACAGATGGGGAAACTGAGGTTGTGCCAGATGAGGCCTAGGAGGGCTGGGGCTGCCTGGGTATGCAGAAAGCTGGTGGATCACAAGGTTAGCTGGTCTTGCTTTGGGCATCAGGGCTGGGGTGAGGTGAGCTTAGGCTTTGCTAAGAGTTGTGTAAGCTAGGCATGAGCAGCAGTATTTGAGGGGTACCTTCAGGCAGGCACCAGGGCCAAAGCACTGAAGCCAAGGTAGATGGGGCTAGCATATGGATTAGGACATAGTGCCAAGATACTGAGGACAGGAGTGGGGACCCCCTGCCCCCCCACAAGGTGTATGGGGCAGAAAGAGACCTGAGCAGGGAAGCAGGAGGGTGTCAGGAGAGGGTGACTCCAGGAGGCAGCCAGCTGGGACTTTGGGCTAGAGGGCTGGAAGAGGGCAGTCAGAGCAGCTGTATGTGTGAACAGGTGTGTGTGTGGGGGGGGTCCTGTGTGGAACTTTAGTGGCCCAGGGATGGGAAGGGGTTGTTTCATGATTAGGAAGTGCCCAAGAAGTGAAGGATCAGCATTAAGGCTGTGCTGGAGTCGGGGGTTGTGGGGTCCAGGGGTCAATGTTAGGAGAAAGACTGTGAGGACCAGGAGCAGAGGACAGAGGCTGATGGACAGAGAGGGGCTGGCACCCAGGATGAGGTGCGGACAGGAAAGGGGGTGTCCCAGGGGTACAGTCACAGCCCTGGGCTGGTTGTGGCCTGACTGGAGGGGTGGGTGAGAGCTGTAGGGGTGGAGGAGCTGGACTCACCTAGCACCAGGGTCAAAACCATGGCCATCAGCAGTCCACCGAGAAGCCGCATGTTGTCAGGGTGAGGACAATGATGACGCCTTGGCTTCTCCTTATACCCATGGCTGTTCCCACCCCCACCCTTCTGAGTCACTGGCAGCCTGGTAGAGCTGAGTTGGGCCAGGCTCAGGTCATGCTAGGGACCATCCTGGCCCAGGGTTTGTGACACTGTGCCCTCAAGGCCTTCTTCACCATCCGTACGGAGAAGACGTCCCAGTTGGCAGAACTAGGGACCTCATGAGGGGTCAGGCCTAGGGTGGTCCCCCAGTGGCTGGGAGGAGGGGCTAGCACAGGCAGCCAGCCCAGCCCTTGCCCTGCAAGATGCAAATGGAGCTTCCAGTGGGTGGAAACCCAAAGCCACCTTCAGCACACCTCCCTAGAGGGAGTCAGGAGATCAGAACTCCTCAGAAGGAGCTGGGACGTCCCATCTACCAAATGGGCTTTCAGTCCCAGGCAAGCCAAGGAAGCTGGGTGCATGCTACATCTTGAGGAAGGATGGGGAGTGCTGTCCAAGCGAGGGACTGTGCTGGTATGGTACTCAGGGGCCCAGAACCCATGAGCATTTGCCCAGTGGGGCAGGAGGTCCAGCCAGGCCTTGGGCTAAAGGGGTGGTGGTGCCCCAAGAGGGTGTAAGAGCCAAAAGGAGGACACTGCAAAAACACAGCAGGGCTGGGGCTGAGTAAGAGGCTCAGAGAATCAGCTTGCCACCCAGGAGACCCTCATGCCCTCCCCAATACCATGATGTCTGTCTAGCGGGCTCCTCAGGGAGAGGGAGGTGGTGGACCAAGGGGAGGGATCCTGAGAGGACTGCTGGGTAAATGGGCTCAGGAACCAGAAAGCAAGAGGAGAGTCTGGAAGCAGGGTTCTGAGGTCCTACTTTGTCGCCCAGACTCCCCTACTCCCAGCCTCCCCCAGGCCTGTCTGCCCCTCACAGGGAGCTAGGAGGCCTGCCTCTCTTGCATAAACTGAGTGACTCTCAGAAGTCCCAGGAATCCTGGGCTGGCTCTGATATCAGGCAGGACCAAGGGAGATGAAAGAGCCCGAGACCTAGAAGGACTGGATGTGGAGCCAGGAGAATCCACCAAATGAGACTGAGGGGCTGGGGGCCTGGCTGCACACCGGGAGATACCAAAGAAGGGCAGACATGTGCATCCATCCATTTATTCACCCATTCCATGAGGGATGCTGTTGGGAACTCTCCGAGGTACTGGTATACAGTGTCGAGCATGGAGTGAAAAGGGGCTCTGCCTAAGGGTGAAATTTCAGGTCCAGATCAGGGTGAGAGACAGCAAGGAAATTGGCAAAGGAAGCACCTGGACCTCAGAAATAAGACAGAAGATCACTGCAATAAATCAGAGGCTGTAAAGGGAGGTGAAGAAGCCATTGATCTGTTTTCCCTTCCTGGGGCCCAGGGAAATTGGCCAGCAGGAGAGGGGCCTGCCACAGTGTTACCCTGACAATTCTGACAAGGCCTCTGCAGCTGGCTGCATCTCTAGGTCAATGCCTCAGTGCCAGCTTCTTCTTCCGGCTCTGTCGCATCTCATGGTGCACTCCATGGTGCCACAGAGCAGCAGGAAGCCCCTTTTGAGAGTTCCAGGCTGCTTCTCCACAGGGAGTGGCCCTGGATGACCAATCATGTTGAAGGGTCCTTGTTGCCCCAGAGTTGGAATGCCCACTGGCTTGGCCAAGGTCCTGGGCCCCCATGGAAAGGCCAGCCTCACGGTGCCTGATATTCCTTTGCCTTTTTCTCTGTCCCTCCATCCCATGTCTCTTCCTCCTGCATCTAGACACAGGGCTGGATGCTCCACACTTGATTCCAGTCCTGGACTCCTCAGACCTCTGGTGTGGATTTCCTCCCTAAGCTTTCCAGCTCTAGAAGGATCTAACATGCTAAAATTCTCTGAGGGTTAGAAACCCACTGTCCCCCTCCCAGGGATAGGGATGTAGAGCCCCGGTGAATGCCAGCTGGTGGGGAAAAAGCCTGCTTGGTGGGTGGGGTGGAGTTGAGCAGGGAGCCAGTTGACCTGGGGACAACTAAGCCCTTCATCTGTCTGTGCCTTTGTTTCCCCAGTATCAAAGGAGCGTGACTGTGGTTCCCAGCTGGCAGACTGCCCTGGAGCACTTTGAGCCACGAGTAGTGGGAGTAGATGGGTATTTGTCACACCGCCCTGGACAGGGCCAGGACAAACGAGCCAATACCACTACCTGGAGTGCCATCACCTCCCACTAGGTGAGCACCTCCTGTGCTGGGCACTGACAGAACCAAGGACAGATCAGCCAAGTAGGACACTATCTGTGGGAATCCCAGGCTGGGGACAGCATGGTCACTGTGGCCCCTAGATGGGTGCCCCCAACACCCTGAGCCCACAGGTGACCCAGCACTCCACTGAGATGAAAGGGAGGCCCTTCTTGGGGCCCTCCCAGCTCTGGGACAGGACACCACTTGTGCAATGGACTTGCGCAAAGGAGGTGATGACAGCTCCTCAGGCACCTCCCACTGACTCACAGTCTCATCTGGATCCTCCCGGCAGGACCTGGGCCTGCACTGGTTATGGCTCCAAGGCTGCTGCTTGTTGATGGAGTCCGCAGGGAAAGAGACCGCAGTCTAGGGCAGGGTTGCTCTTCTCTGGGCTCAGCCCTTGACCTCCTCCCCACTGTGTGTGTGTGTGTGTGTGTGTGTGTGTGTGTCTGTCTGTCTGTCTGTCTGTCTACCAAGCCTGCCCTGTTCTGTTTGTCCCTTTCCCCCTCCTGCCCTTGTGTGAAAACCATCACTCTTCTGGAAAGTGAAATGTCCCCTCACTGGGGGCCTTCAGTTCCACCTTCTACCCCCAAACCCCATCCTTTCAAGGAAGAAACTGAGGCAAGAAAGCACCCCCTAGCCACAGGAACAGAGCTCCAGGAGGAGACCCTAGTCCTGTACAAGGCTATGGAGAAGAACCCCCTCCAGGGACACATCCAAGCAGCTCTCAGGGTGCAACATCCAGCAGGGCTCCCAGGAGGGCTGTGTTTGGGGCCAGGGACAATTCCACCACAAGGAAACTGGTGCTATCCTGCCCTCCTGGGCTGGGCCAGCTTGAGGAGTCCCTCAGCCAGAGGACTCTCACCTGAGCAGAGGCACTGTGAGTGAAGAGGACAGCCCTACCCAGCCTCGCAGGAGGAGGCAGGCACTCCCTGGGCCACCCACATTCAGATGGTGATGTTAGGCAGAACTGTGCCTCCCAAATTTGCTCTGAAGTTGTATTCTTGGGGAGCAACTAATGGCGCTTACCGAAGTCTGATGCTTCAGCCCAGGGCAGACCTCATGCCCTCCCTGTCGACTTTACCAGGGCAGAAGGGTCCCACAGGACTCCTGGGCCACTGGTGCAGACCTGGGCTGGATACCTGCACACTTGTCCTGGTGGGACTGGCCCAGGGACCTATGGACAGAGCTAGGGGCAGCCTGGTCTTGGATTGGCATGCCATTCCCCTGCTCTGCCCGTGCAGGCCAGCTGACCTTACCCTGTGCCCCTCCAGGCCATCTGACACATGGACACATCCCTCCCCCTCCCCCACAGGACCTGCTGTGCTGTCCTGCCCAGAATAGTCTGGCTTTCATCCTGTACAGGCTGGAACAAATATAGCAGGGCCCCTGGCTTGAACTCAGGGTGGGGTGGGGGTGGAGAGGTCAAGGGATTGGAATGAACTGGATGGCACCACCTCTGCACCCTGGATGGCTTCTGGGGCTAGAGGGGCCTCAGGGGCCTGTTGAAGCAGAGCCATCCCCTCCTAAACCAAGAGCTGCTGTGATACCAGGTCTAGTCCTCTTCCTGGGACAGCTGTGGTGATAAAGGCCTCCACACATGCCCTCATTTCGTACCTGCTCTGGATGACTGCTGGCCTCAGTGGGAAGCAGAGATAACCCTGCTGGATCCTGCTGATGACCCAGTAGGTTCATAATCTCCCTCCCCCCCCAGCACACTTACCACCTACTTTGTAGATTGCAGCAGGGGCCTGCTGCACAGAAGGGTTCCATCAAGTAAGAATTCCCAGGCCAAATGACTGCCCCTGCCCTCAGCAGCTGTTCTTTTGCCAGATACCCTGGCCTGTGACCAGAGGAGGACCCCAGTCTGTCCATCAAGGCCAGGCCCACACACCAGCCCTGTGACAGCGAGCAGTCATGGCCTGGGAGTGAGGCCTTGTGGGTGGCTGGAGGACAGGAGTCCACCTACAGACAGCCCTGGGCCCTGGTACAGTTGAGGGGTCTCAGAGCTGAAAGTTGGCGGGGGAGTATGCAGTGTGGGAGGGTGCAACTGTCTCTCCGAGGCTTGTTCTTGAGTGGTCTCCCGGGGGAAGCAGGACTTAGATCAGACCCCAGATGGTGGCCAGAAGAATGGAGGCCAAGGCCAGGGTCCCTGGGGCAGTGAGGCCAGCACCATTGCAGAGGTCATACTGGCAGCAGGAGGTGGTGGATGCATGCTTGGAGTAGCCATCATACACGGTCTCGAAGCAGCTGGGCACGCATGACTTGCTCACCTTCATCCTGTATGGGGTATAGTCTGCAGGGGACAGATGGGGGGCAAGAAGGCTGCCCTGAGAAAGACGGGACCCCATTTGGCCTAATGCCAGCATGCAGGGCCATCAGGGCTGGTGCCCTTTTCAAGGGCTCCTAGGAAGGACCCTGGAGCAGGTGGGAGTCTCCCCCCTGTACCCTCCACGTTCTGGGGCAGAGCTCAGGGGCCGCCAGACTCACAGGTACGGGTGGTCATGCAGTATCTAACCATGGTGGGGCAACGCATGGGGTTGAAGCAGTTGTCTCCATTGTAGGCACACACGTGGCAGTCCAGGGCCTGGGCTGGGGGCAGAGTGCAAGGTCACAGGAAGAAAGCCCTTCCTTCAGTCCATCACCTCTCCCCAGGGCAGGGAAGTCAAAAGGAGAAGTGGTCACTGGGAATTCTGGCCAGCTTCCCCACTTTGAGACCTCCCCAAATTGGGCCTGTGCACCCCTCTGGCCTCAGTCTACTCACCCAGAGGCAGGCCCACCACGGCCACCAGGAGCAGGGCAAGCAGGTGCGCCATGAGTGGAGGTGAGAGAGCGCCTGGGTAGGTGGATCCAACTTAGTCGGGGCAGGGGCAGGGCACCGAGGGCATGGGACAGGCCCCTGCCCTTGCCAGTGCTCCTGGTCTGCGGGGAGGTTCAGCAGCCCTGCAGAGGGTGGCAAAATAGGTGGTCAGTGCTGGGCTTGGGCAGGCAGTGGGTCCAGAGAGGCCACCAATTCGGTGGGTGTTAGGGAGGGTGTCCTGGGCACTTAAGATGGGAGGAGGAGGAAGCAGGAGCCAGAGATTCCAACAGAGGCCCAGAGGCTAGTGCAGACTGAAGGGCAGGGGCAGTGCTAGGGTGGGGAGGTCCCAAAGGCAGGAGCGGCCCGAATGCCAGGACCAAACCAGGCCTTGGCGTGTGTGTGCGCGCGTGCACTCGCACGGGGGACTGCAGGAGCATGGCACACAGGCCCCTCCCCTCAGGGCTGTGGGTGAGGGGGTTCTACACAGGGCCCAACTGGGCCCCAGGCTGAGGTCTCTTCTGGCTGCTCTGGTGTGTTCCTGCCCGGGGTCTCTCTCCCAGAAAGACTTCCGGAGCCCCACTTGGCCCCTCAGGCCTGCGACCTGCCCACTCCCAGGGGCTATGAGACGCATCCCTGAGGCGCCTGGGCAAGAGGGGAGGAGCAACTCTCTAGGCTGGTTTGGTGCTTGCAATTGAGATGTCCGCTCTTTGGAAAGGAGTTTGGGGGATCTCCCTCGCCCTGCTGCCATACTCAGGCCAGTCCCTGCTCCAGGCACTAAATTAGACTCTCCAGAAAACAACCTGTCTTTCATGACCCATTTCCCGGGCGCCAACACCGGATGCTCAGAGTCGGACTCTGGTCTTGGCTGCGGGTCCAGCGCTTCCCGCCCCCTCCGACAGCCCCGCCCCAGAAACTGCGGTCTCGGCCCAGAAAGGACTCTGAGCGCCTGCGGGGTGACCCTCAGGACCACGGGCCCCCGCGGGCCTCCCAGGAACTCACCAAAGCCGCTCTCCAGGCCCTCTCTCGGTCTAACTGTGAGTCGGCGATTGCCGCAGGACCCAACACGTAACCAGTACTGCGGAGGCTCACCGCAGGCCCCGCCCCGCGCCCGCCCCGCGCCCGCCCCCGATGCTGCCCAGGCTCCTCTAGCTCACCGCAGATCACCCCAGACTCGTCCCGGATGCCGCCCCCTGTGCGAAAGCAGGCAGGCCCCGCCCCCGCCCGCCTCCAACCTTATGCGCCCCGGTCCAATGAGGTCCCCGAAGGTCCGGTCCCTGCCCTGTCCGCGCCCTGCCGGGGTCACAGCCCTCGCCCTCTCTCAGGCCGTTCCCTGTTCCCCTCTCCTTCTCGGTCCCCCGTGGTGATTTCGCCCAGCAGGTCCCTGCTAAGACTTCGAGGGTGGGTGAGGGATCGCGACAGTGGCCCAGGCGTCGTAACCCCACACACGGAGCCCAGCATAACATCCTCGAGACCCTCAGGCTTGCATGCACCGCCTGGGCACTTGCCACCCGGGCCCACTGCAGTCTGCCCACTCTGACTTGCCCGCAGCCGCGCTGTCTTCTGAGCTCTGCAGCGTTCCGGGGACGCTCCGTGCCTCGGTCCCAAGCAGAATCCGCTGGCAGTGCTCCAAGGCCAGCCTGGAAGGCGTCCCGTGGTTCTCAGGCCCCTCTCGCTTTCGTGGTTCCAATTTTAAATAAATATTTTTATATAACTTTAAATATTTAGTTTTATTTTTTATTCTATTTTAGGCAAAATTTAATGACTTTTTATGGGCCCTAAAATTTTCTTCTTTTCTATCGTGACAAAGAAAACAAAACATTTCTTCGACCCTGAAATCTTATTTTATCTTTAAAAAAGATCAGTCAGGGCCAGGGATTTTAGCTCAGTGGCGCTGAGCCCGTCTCACAAGCTCAAGGGCCTGAGTTCGATCCCCAGGACCAAAAAAAAAGAAAGAAAGAAAAGAAAAAAAGATTAATCATTTTTATGGGCTCTGAGCAGTGAATTCTTCAGTTTGGACAAATCAGGCGGCTTGGTCGAACTCTTTGCCAAATGGTTCCATCCCAGATGTTCCAGGAGTCAGGAACAGGGCAGGGGATAGAACCTACTGACTGAGAGTGTGGAGTGTCCCAGCCCTCGGGGAGCCACACTCATTGGAAGTGTATGCTCAAGGAGAAATCTGACCGTGTCCCGGCTTCAGCATCCTTTGAGAGGAACTGATGGAACTGGATTTACTGTCCTGCCTTTAAAAACTGAAAAATGCCAGGCATAGTACACACACCTGTAATCCCAGCACTTGGAAAGCTGAGGCAGGAGAATTGATGTGAGTTCGGGGCCAGCCTAGGCTACATAGTGGGTTCAAGGTCAATCTGAACTACATAGTGAGACCCTTTCTCCGAAACAAAACAAAACACAACCAAAAAACTAAAAAATGAGGCAAAGTATACAAAATAATATATTATTGTATTTATTTATTGCACTTATTATTATACAATTTATGTTTAATATTGGATTTGTTATTATGAGCCAGACATAGCTCCACAGAGAACAGAACACAGGGCAGTGACCCTTGGGTGGCCAGGGATAGAGGAAGGGAGCTACAAGACGTAGCACAGACAGGACCCCCAGAAGTGCTCTGTAAGAGCCCACTTCTATCTACCCACAGCCACCTTGAGTTGTAACTTTCCGGCATAGTTTCCTAGCTAACCATAAATACACAAAACCACCAGAGTGGTGTGTGGAGCTTTACGGCTGAACCCTGGCTCCCTTGGTGCCAGGAATGTGCTTGGTGTGCTTGAGATTAGCTTGGGATAAACCAGGTACATCAGGCTGCTCACTTTTCTCCTGACCAATTCATATGCTCCTCCTTCTATTGCAAATCATGGATCCGCTCACTTGCTGCTGCCCAGGACCGTGCTTCCATAACTAAGGCACCAGCAAGTTGCTCTCTGTGATCCTGGATCTGTCGGCCTTTCTTCAGGCTCAGCTGCCTCAGCCTCCTCATCCATGTGGCTGGGCTCTTTCTGGAACAGCTCAAGTCTCTTACGTAAGGAGACTGTGGAAGCTCAGGGAGGCCATGATGCTGGAATCCACCAGGGAAGAGCATGGGAGTGAAGAGAGCTAGAGAGCTGGGCAAAGACTTCCCTGAATCTTCAGCTTTGTTCCTATTTGTGCCTGAGTTTGGAGAACCTATTGGAGGGCAGGGCAAGCGCCAGAAGGAGCTGGGACACAATCTACAGTGCGGGAATGGGGCAGGGGAACCACTTGTGTCCCTGGGAGACAAATCTCATAATCCTGGGCCATCACTGGTGTGATCAGCATGAGACTCTTGCGTTGTGGTCAAATCAGTCCTGCAGTAAAAGTCACACAAGCTCCAAATAACAAAGTTAAAAGCAAGCCTCCAAAAGGTCTGATTGCTTCAAGTAACTTAATTGTATCCTGCAACAAAACTCAAAGTTATTTTTATTTATTTATTTATTTTTTGGTACCAGGGATCGAACTTGGGTCCTTGCACTTGTAAGGCAGGTGGCGGAACCACTGAGCTAAATCCCCAACCCCTCAAAGTTATTTTTAAAAGGCCATTGCACAACAACACAAAATCCATGTAATGGTATGCCTGACATCAATTAAATGCCACTAGCCAAGCAAAGAAACACTTGACCTATACTGGGGAGAAAACATACTATTGAGATCCAGATACGACCCCAGTCAAGTGTTAGTAGGCCAGGACACTGAGAAAGATACTGTATTTTGTATTTTGTATGTTCAAGAAGGGAGAGAACAGCATGAACATAGAAGTTTTGTTTTAAAGATGAAAATTGAGCTTCTAAAGATAAAAAATAAAAGAGATGCAAATATACACTGAGGGAAAGGGAACTCTACTACATTGTTGGTGAGAATGTAAACTAATATAACCACTATGGAAATCATTTTGGCAATTCCTCAAAAAACTAACAATAGGAATTCCGTTTTATTCAGCTATCCGCCTTTCAGGTGTCTTCCCCAAAGAGTGAAAACCATCATATTGCAGAGATACATGCATACCCATATTTATAGCAGCACAATTTATAACACCTTCATATTGGAAATAGCACATATGTCCATCAACAGTTGTGGTATTTATACAAGTGGAGTACTATTCTGTCATAGACAAAGATAAACTTGAGGCATTTATAGGTAAATGGATGTAACTTGAGAATATAATGTGAAGCGAAATAAGTTAGGCACACAAGCTCTCTTATATGAGAAACTATCAATCGATCTAAGTATATATATTCAAATAAGTAGCAGAATAGAAGAGAAATAAATAGGAAGTAAGGAGTTCAAATACTTCCCCAAATTACATATTCTATTGCTTAAAAAATGTTTCAATGTATATGCTAATTTGTTTCATTTATACGAAGTTTATCTTAGTTGGTTGAAAAGAAAATTTGTGTTATCTGCTTCTTTTTTGTAAGAATCTTTTTGGCTTATGTCTTGTGCTGAGTAACTACTTTTAAGATGATACACAGTGTGGTAACTATTGTTATTATCTTATTATTGGTTATGAAAATTTGTTTTATTTTTTTATGAAATAGAAAAAGAAAATATACACTGAGTGGGGTTAACAACTGATTAGACTTCATAAGAACGTTATGTGAAGACACAGTTTAGGGTCTACTAAAAAAAAATCAAAGAAGGAAAACTTGAGAAAAGTGAACAGAAGACCAGGGAGCTGTGAAACAACTTTGAATTGTGTCACTGAAGTCCCAGAGGGAAGGAGAAGGTGGAAGTAAAGAGAAAGATATCCAGGGAAGTAATGACCCAGATGTGTTCAACTTTGACGCAGACCTTAAACCCACTGGCCCTAGAAACTCAGTGAACCTTGAAGCATTAGAAAGATGGAGGGCCAGGTGTTATACCAAAGCTCATAGTAATCAAATCTCTTAAAATCAGTGATAAGGAGGAAAAAAAATCTAAAAAAAGGCATTATGTACAGAGGATCAAAGATAAGGATCACCAAGATTTCTTTCAGAAATAATAGGAACTGACACTATGAAGCAGGGTCCAAACTATTAGCTAAATAACTAATGCTGCCCAAACACAAAATCAAACAGAAACCATACCCGTCAATTTAGAATGACATACTCCATAAAAATATCTTTGAAAAATGAGATGAAATAAAGAAATCTTTGATATACCAAGTCAGGAAAACCTTTTTTCAGCAAACTGGTGCTGAAAGAAGCTTAAAGTAAGTGACAGCCCAGGAAAACTTGGGTCTACACAGAGCAACCTGCAGCACCAGAAATGCAAAGCATAAGTCTGTGTTTCCAAGTTTTAAATCATTTTAGGAGATAATTGGTTACTGGAAGCAGAGGCAATCACAATGTATTATGCAACTTTTAGCAAGCTGGAAGTATAGATGGCAATAATAGCATAGGACAGAGACCAGGACAGAAAAATGGAAGCACACTGCTGTGAGTTTATCATATTGGGTAGAAAGTGGTCCAGCTCTCCTTTTCTTTTCTCTTTTCTTTTTTCTTTCTCTTCTCTTCTCTTTTCTCCTCCCTTCCTGCTTCCTGCCCATTTTACTTCCTCTCTTCCTTGTTTCCTTTCTATCTGCTTGTTTGAAGGGGTCTCTTGCCCAGGCTGGGCTCTGACTCCTGGTCTTAAGTAATGCTCCTGACTCACCCACCAGAGTTGGTGGGTTTACAGGTGCACACTACCATATCAGGCTTGATAGGATTGATAGAATATTTCATGAGGATAGAATGTAATAAGTTAAGGATATGTAGTAAAACACTAATGTAATGACCAAAGAAATAAAAAGAAAAAGAGGGGGAAAAATCAAAGAATTCTAACTAATAAATCAACAAAGGAGACAAAACAGAATCATAAGAACTTTTTACCAAGGATAAGACAAAGAAAGAGGAAAAAGGAAAAAGTAAACAGATGGGACAAATGGAACACAATAACAAGATGGTAGATTTAAGCTCAACCACACTAATTATGACATCAAGTGGTTGAAAACATATCAGTTAAAACACAAAGGTTATCAATGGGCATACAAAACTACAAAGAGGTTAAAAACAAAAGGAAGGGAAAAGACCATGTTAACACCAGGCAAAAGAATGCAGGAAGGGCCATATTCATGTCTGACAATGTCAGTTTGACAAAGACGATGAGAACAAAAAGTCAGCCAAGAAGAGTTAGCTCATGAGGAGACAGAGTAGTCTAAATGTTTTCAATTGAACAGCTGAGCCTCAAAATACACAAAACAACAAACACCTGATAGGCCTGAACAAGAAAATCCACAGCAACAGTTGGCATGTGCAACGTTTCTGTCTCACATCTGATGGGAGCAGACGGGAGGTGGGTGGGCTGAAGACATGGATAACATTCAGAACCACTGTGCCCAGTTTACCTTGAGAACAGTCCACCCACAGAAGGGGAATGCACTTTTATTTACCAAGAACATTCACCAGGGTAGTTTGTATTCTGAGCCATAAAACAAATCTCAACGAACCTACAAAAGTCAAAAACATACAAACTATTTTTGTTGATCACAATGGAATTAACTGCGAATTAACACAAAGATATCTCTGAGCTCCCCATGTACTGAGAAACTGTGTGGCAGCACATTTCTGAATAACCTATGGATCAAAGAGGATATTGTGAGGATAGAACGTAGCACTCCCTTCCTGACATATAGGCCTCACCATTTCTAAGAAGTAGAAACCTAGTAGGAAAGTACTGGGTGACACTGCTTAGGGGAAATGGAATCCTAACTTAGAAAAACAGAACTCTGCTCAACCATCAGGCAACCTAGCTTTGTTACCTTCTGCCCAATCATCCTTCCCAACATCTCCTAAACCCACACCCTCATGTATGTAACCCCAAACATCCCTGGCTGGGGACCGACTCCTGGGCTCCTGACCCAGGTGTACTATTGCTGGAGGCAATAAATTTCCACTTTTAATTTTTTTGCAGCTGGTTATATTTTTTGATTCACCACAAGTCTTCTTTGACCTAACAGATATCAAACAAGGAAACCAGAACATATTTCCTACTTCATAAAAATGAATCCACCGCTCACACAGGAAGTGGATGCAGCTTAGAGGAGGATTTCATATGGTTTCTGCAGTAGAAAAGAAGAAAGTCCCCCAGATGAGAAAGGAGCTAAATTTCCACCTTTAGAAACTAGACCCAGAGAAAATAAAACCCAGAGTAAGCAAAGTAAAGGAAATAATAAAAATAAGAAAAAAAACTGAAATAAAAAAAAGCAAAACACTAGAGTCACCATCAGCCTCAAAGCTGGTTCTTCAAGACTGTACCGGCAGCCCATACAGGCCTGCATGTCTATGATAGGACCAGAAGGAGGACAAGTCTGCCCTAATTGTGCCTGGTAGCTGGTCCTGCACTCTTTGCAGGAAGGAGGCCCATGCTGGGTGCAGGGGAACATGGGGGTCACACTCCTTCCTGTAGGTGGGCAGTCAGGCCTGACAAGGATGTGAGGACCACAAACATTTCTAGCAGGTCAAGGGAGGGTCTGGCCTCCCTTCTCAGGAGATAACCATCAGCTGCTTTTGCAAAATTCCCCTGAAAATCCACCCTTTGGAAATTGTGCTTGGCTGCTTCTAGCAATTCTACTAATGCAGAGATAAAATTACCTACTCATAGCCCAGCACTTCATCCCTGAGTGCTGGGAGCCACCTCTCACCACCACCTTTCCCTTATCACTCCCTGGGCAGACTGTGAACGTGGGTGGGGCAGTGGGACCCTGTTCTTCAGGGGTGGCAGGGACCAGAGTTGGGGCTCTAGCTTCTGTTGGGCAAGGCTCTGTCCACGTCCACAGGGTCGAATGGACTCCCAAAGGACCCCCATCTTTGTAAACCCCACTGGGGGCTGTGACAGGAGGAGGGTCCTAGATGGGGTTGAGGTCAGATTGAGTGTAGGACCCAAGGGGCTACCAGTGAGCCATACTGAGGACTGGGGTCAGACCTTGGGGGTGACAGGTCAGAGGATGGACTCCCGATGGGAGCTGCTTCACCCTTGGATTAGCACTGGAGTCTGGCAGGGTCACACGGGGATCCTGGGCCCCTGAAACATGGAGGCCACCTCTACCCCCTGCTTGTGCTCCATTCATGTTGCCTGGGTGGTCCTCTTACTGGTTACTACCCTTCGAAAGCCCTCCGGACTCCGCAGGTGGTGCTCTCTCCTTTGTCTGGTGCTTGGTGGCCAAGCCTTGCGGGACTGCAGGGGTTACTTCCCCATGGCCACATGGAAATAGAGCTGGTATATGGCCCTCTGCTTGGCCCACTCCTATACCAGGTGGTTTTCCTGAAGGCCTTGTGTCCCAAAGGAGCAGGTGGAACCAGGCAGAGGGAGCTTCCCTCTGGGAAGGTACCTTTGGGAGGCAGCAGGGCCACTGTGGGGACAGCTGTGTTGCAGCAGAGGGCTGCGGCATGGGGCTTCTGCCATGGCAATGTGGGCAGGGTGCTGGCCATCCTAGGTGAGTGCCAAGCACACAGGTAGGAAACTGAGGCCCCAGGAGGTGGGGTGCCTGGCTCAAGATCACCTGGTGAGGACCAGAATTGCAGGTAGAGTCTGCTCATGGAGAAAGGCGCTTACTTGGCAGAGGCAATGGGGCCAACCCCTAGCCTAGATGGACCCAGAAGTTCCAAACTAGCCCAGGGCATCAGGGGAGGCAGGGCGGACTGGTGGTCAACAGCCAGGGCCTCCTTGAGTCACATTCTACTTCCCACTCCTCCCCTCTCCAGCCCCCAGGGTCCTCTGCAGAGCTGGGGGAGGATGATCCTTTCAGGGCACAGGACCCCTCTGGATCCCCCACCAGCTGCCCTTCCACTATGTTGGGTCAGGACTGACCACAGCAGGGTAGCTAGGCCAGACCTGCCAGGGTGCCAGCCTGCTGCGGGTCAGAATCTATGACGACCCCCATGCAGCCTGGGAGGGTCACTGCTATTGGGGTGTGGGACTGGCCTACTCCCCAGGAGTAGGAGGGGGAGGGCTTCCTACTTGGGCATCTGCTGGGCACCTTTTCTCCTTCTTGACCTCACAGCCTTATACACAGAAAACTGCCCAAACCCAGGCAGAAGGAAAGAGCTCAGGTAGGAGGCTCAGAACCCAAGCAGTAAGCAGGCTCAGGCAGCAGGCTGGAGGCCCAGTTTCCCCAAACCTCAGTGCTCTTCTTAGGACCCTTCCTGCCCAGTCATGCCCACCTAGCTCCTTCTGGGTGAGTTCTGGCTGAGGAACTGCAGGGATCTCCAGGATGAGGTCAGCCAGGGCAGGGGAACTTGCCATGGGCCAGGGCTGGGGCAGTCAGTCCCTGCAACTCCAAGGCTGGGGGCTCTCTGGAGCCTCTTGGACCTACATCCCGGCCTGGGCCCGGTGTGCTGTGTGTGGGCCGGGCCCAAGCCCCTGCTCCAGCTCTGCTTAGGCTTCCCCAGGAGCATCCTGCACCTCTGCCACCTGAGGATGTGGCCTGAGGTAGGGGGCTGCCCTCTCCGAGGGTGGGGATGCTGCATTCTGTCAAGACTTGCCCAGTGCTGCCCTGTCAAGACTGACAAGTGGTGGAGACTGGGATCCCCTGGCCTAATTCCTGTGTTCCACAACCACACTGGTTTTAAATCATTTATTTATATGCAGAGATCTGAGTAGAAAAATAAGTAACATAAGTAGAAAATTCAGGAGTGGGAATCTGAACGACATCTGTCCTTTGTCCTCCATGCTGCCTGGCTGGCCCCCTCCTCTTGTCCTGAGAGACATCCTGTGCCCACCAGGACTGGGCTCCAGCCTGCAGGGAGTCTCTGGCCTCAGGGATCTTGCACCCCCATATGGCCAGAGAGGGGACTGTGGTAACTCAGGAAGTGAAAGGGAAAGGGGTTACAGGCTGGGAGCCATGAGCAGGCCGAGGAGCCCCAGGGCCAGCACTAGGCCCAAGATGGCGCTGCTGAGCAGGGCATGGGCCGGTGGTGCAGCACTGTGCACCCTCTCATTGCACAGGTCTTCCTGGCAACAGTGTGTTGACCCGGCACCGCTGCTGACCTGGTGGCCCTGCTGGCTGTAGGCAGGTGTGCATGAGTCCTCACAGGTCTTCTTCACCAGGTTCCCTGTCAGACTCTCCACTGCACGTGGTGGAGGGGAGGGGGCGGGTCAGGCCTGGCCCACCATGCACCCCAGCTTACACCCATGTTCTACTCCCACTGCCCCCCTCCCAGTCTCCATTATGACCAGACCTACACCTGGATCACACCACCCGTCTGCCCAGGGACAGGCCCCCCAGCCCTAGGGTACCACCACTTACCTAAAGTCACAGTCTTGCAGTAGCGGGAGCTGCTAGGACAGTGCTGGGGCTTCTTGCAGTTGCCAGTGTCGGCACACACATGACAGTGGAGTGTGTAGGCTGGTGGGAGAGAGGCAGGGGTCTCAGTTAGGCCCGGGTCCTCTACCTACAGGGACCCATCCAACACAGTCTCTGTCATCCCTGTTCAGACAGCCCCCACCCTGCTCCTGGACCCCACAGGCCCATTTTCTGTGCACAGCTCAGGAGAGGTGTGCTGGGCACCTTGAGCCTTTGGAGGACCATGTCTGGGCAGGGCAGGGTACGGGTGGAGTTCTGTGGAGAGCTTCCCTCTAGGGCCTCAGACAGCCCTGGCAGTATGCTAAGACCAGTTGTGGGAGGAGGCCATGCCCATGACTGCCAGGGAGGGACTCAGAGAGTTTGCAGGGAGGGAAAGGGCCCAGGGAGGAGCGGGCTGCAGGCACTGGATGGCTCCGGGAGGCATCTCAAGACAACTCCCAGCTCTACCCCTTCACAGTGTCTGTGATTCTGCAGTCGATTCTTAAATTCTCTGATTCGGAAACATTTTAAATCTGTGATTCACAGAGTCACAGATGTAGGTTTGTTTTGTTTTAAAAATCCTGAAAGTTACGCATCTCATATCAGGAGTCTCTGAGCCTGAATTCCAGGCTCCTAGCATTTGGTGACCACCTATCAGGCATGGAGGCCAAAAGTTGCCCACCCCTCCAGGCCCCCAGGCCTAGCCTTTTACCTGGGCCCAGGGTCACAGCCAGGGTGACAAGGAGCAGCAGGACTGTCTTCATCCTCTGTGTCATCGGGAAGCAATGGGGCCCCTCCTCTCCACAGGCCTTATAGCTGGGACTGGCTCCAGCTGGTAAGGCTGGAAGCCATCCAGCCAGTGACACAACAGGGCCTGCCTCATCTTGCCTGACACACACCTACCAGCCCAGCCCTAGAAGGTGACTACTTCCCTTTGTCACCTCCCGGGGAGGGTGTGCCCTCTGCCCTCTGGGGTTCAGCCAAGGTGGGCTATGGACAGAGGCTCCTGGCCAAGCAGCTCTTGGCTCTGTGACTCCCTTTCTTCCCTCTTGTCTGCTGCTCTGGGTCTTGGTCAGTTCTCCTGTTGTCTGTCTGCCTCTGTCTCTGACTTCCCATGCCTTTGTGCCTTTGTCCTGTGGCCCCTCTTTTGAGTAGTTCCCTTCAGTCTCAGCCTATGCTGGGTGCCCTAGGGTGCCCCTGGTGGGGAAGGCAGGAACAGGAGGCACTGGCCCTGCCTTCCTGGGCTCTGGGCTCCTGGGTGCTGGGCTGGTCTAGCGGAGCCTGGATTAAGGAATCCCTGGAGTGGCTACAGGTGAGGGTCTGTGGCAGGCAGAGAAGATGCAGGGGGAGGGCAGCAGGAGCCAGAGCTCATGAAGGGTGGAGGCCAGCTGAAGGCGTGAGCTCCAGCCTGTGGGGCACTGGCCATGCCAGGGGCTACTGGGAGAGGGACAAGGCTGCAGAGGCAAAGACTGGGTCAGTCGTTGTCAGGGAGACAGAAGCACTCCTCATTATCTCATCTACCCTCAGCCTCCGTCCTGCCCCTGGGGCCCAGGACCCCTTCCCCTGGAGAGCTCCCTCTCCAGTGCTCTCAGTCCTGCCCTCCCCCTGAAGGTATCCTAGACCTTAGTCATCCTGCTTTATAACATCCCTCTACCTCTGTTGCGGTTCCCCAAAGCTGAGGGCTCCTCAGAGCTGTGCCCCAGCACCCAAGGTCTTGGGGTACATGTTGGGTCTGGTCTCGGTGGGGGAGGCAGAACCCTATCTTCATGTTGTTTGGGCTCCTACGAGGTACTCGTTTCTCTGTGACTTAAGTCTCTGAGCATCCACCTAACTTACCTAGGAGACAGGGCATGGCAAAGCTGGCTAGAAAAATAGGTGAGATCAGTCAGTTATAAGACCCCAGAACAGTGCCAAATAATTCCCACAACCCCACATGTAGAACGTCTTCTGTGTTCCCATGAGATGCATAGAAGGACACAGGCGCCATGAGGAGCTCACTACTGTGACTCTTCACTGCAGCCCATCCTGTGTCTTCTAGACCAGAGTGTGCTTCCATTTTTGCTCTTTTCTTCTTTTATTTAGCCCAAGTTCACTCTGCAGAGCCAGTTTCACCCTTACCCCTTCACCTCTCACTTTTTCAGGAACTTTTTTTGGTACCAAGGATTGAACTCGGGTCCTTGCGCTTGTGCAGCAGGTGGCGAAACCACTGAGCTAAATCCCCAGCCCTCTCACTTTTGAAATAAATTCTTGGCATTACTCTTGGCTTGTCTCGTCCAGTTCTTTGTTTAAGAAAAGAAGGACCTGCAATAAGTTTAACTGGTGAGATATTTCTAAAGAAACTACCCTATAACATAGCTGAAGCAGAGGCCACCCTCCACACTGCCCAGGTTGGGTCAAGGGGCTCTGAAGAGCCTTGTTCTGCCCCTGCTCCTAGAGGCGAGCTGGGGGTTGGGCACAGATAGAGCTCAGCCCTGGGTTTGTCCCACTCTTGTCCACATGGCAGCTGATGGACATGAGCCAACATGGGCAGATGGGTCAGGACTCGCTTAGGGAAGGTGGCCAGGCTGAAGCCCTTGGAAGCCCATAGGTTTCGGAGCGGGGAATCACAACCACGGTAGGCCAAGTGGGATTAAGCTGTGGCTACAGCAGGGGTTAGAGTCCTGCCAGGGCACCACCATGTGGCTCTCCTTGAAGCAGTTCCCGGATGTGGCAGCACCTGCCAAAGCCCGAGGGGTCATTGGTGGTGGCCCAGAGACCCTGGAGGGTGCAGGTAGGGCCCAAGGGGCAGCCTCACCTCTGTGCTCTGTGCCCCCCAAGAGCATCAGGTATAGAGGAGTGCATGGGTGGTTGAGGGTGGATAATTCAGAGGCCTTGGAGAGCAGAACTCAGAGCTTGGTGACAGGGTGGTGACAGTGGAAGATAGCAAGTAGGGAAGCTGACTCAGGCGGGAATGTGCTGGAAAAACAGGTTTGGAATTCTTGCTGTGTGCAGTGAAGCTGGGGGCCCCCCGGGGGATACTGGGCTACTAGGAGTGGAGGTCTGGGTGTGGCCACTGGGCTCCCTCACATGGGGCTGGATGAGGCCCCTGCACGCTTGTCCTCCAGGCCCTTAGGTGAAATGACAGCCATGTGTCCTGGAGGCTGGGATGGCAGGTGTCCCAGGTCCATGGAGGGAGCGCCTACAGGCCTTTGTCCCTGCCAAGGATGCTGGGAGAATATAAGCTGCTGACCCAGACATTTCCAGGCAGAAGCATGGAACAGTCCCAGAGGAAGTTTGCTACCAGGAGAAAGTGAGTGATTCTGCTGGTGGGAGCTCCTGGAAGGTTGGGAGCTGAGAAGGGGGGAAGTCAAGGAAGTCTTCCTGTAGTTGATGACAGGGCTGAGGCCTTGGAGTTAGTTCATCTACCCTGGGCTGGGGGCTTTCTCGGCCTCATGTGGCCAAGAGCATTAGTCCTGACCGTACCCCAGGGGCCCAGATGCTTCCCTGTACCTCAAGATGCTTCATTCATTCACTCCACAACATTTTAGGATCTGCTGCCATATGCCAGCACTGTGGATATAACAGAGATCAAGAGAGGAAAGAGACAGGGCCCAGTGCTCAGGGTCCCTATGTTGCCATTTAGCTGAGGAGTCTTCAACTCAATTGAGATGGAAATCACGAATCAACAAAGTGCAGCTCTGCTAGCAGTCCTGATGTCACCAGATGACAACAGTTGATAGCCAGCTGCTGGTCACTGGTGCTGTCAGCTGTCGCCATCTGATGCTAGCTTGTGCTGGATACCATATGTTGACTCTGCTGGCCACTGTCCGTCCAGTGCCAGCTTGTGCTAGGGTGGTACGCAGGAGAGACTCCTTCTAGACTGAAACCCAAGAAGTGCCTGGAAAGTGCTACTTAGGTAGCAACTTGCAGACCTATTTCATTGAGGGTGGGGGCTGAAACCACGGAATCTTTAGGAAGGCTTGCTGTGAATTCTGGGTATGAAAATAAAGGGCCCAGATTTCTGCTTTCTTGATGTTAGCTACTCCTGGGTGCCCTCTCTATTCTCAAAAATGCAATAGTATCAACTAAAGTAGTGGGAGTGGGGAAGGGGCCCCACACAGCCTGGCTTTTCTCCACACATTGGTGTGGAGAATGGCAGTTTGATAGCCAGAGAGGACACGAGTGAACTGTCCAGTGCACTGGGGTGCACGGGGAAGCAAAGGAGAGCAAGGGGCAGGGCTAGGCAGCTACCAGAAAAGTCACACTCCCTCATAGCCAGCACAGGGACAAATGAATGAGACAGATATTTCTCATCTACCTCACCCAGACCAGCCAGAGGGAGACCCCTGGCTGCTTTATGGGTACACTGAGAGTGTGACAATCAGGGAGGCCTGGGGTCACCAGGAGGATCCACCTGGGTGGAGTCATCTCAGCTGGGGCCTGAGGGTAGGTGGCCACCAGGAGGTGGAGCAGGGAGGAGCATCAATCAGGGCACCAGGGCCTGGCTGCCAGGTCCCCTCACTCTGTCTGTCTTCCAACAAGGTCACGTGAGTGCTCTGTGAGTCAGCCAGGAGTGAGGCAAGGGGATGGAGTGCTAGACTGAGTGGCCCAGGAGAACCAACATGTCAGACCCTGTTGATAGCCTGGGAGAGATATGGGTGAAATTTGTACTGCTGTACAAGATGATGTTTCCCTTAGTCACATGGAAAAAGCTCAGGGTGTGGATCACAGGGACATCTGTTTCCCACTGCTCCCACCCTCATGATGCTCTTACTCTGTCCCTGCCCTTGGGAGCTCCCTCAGCACTCACAGTACTTCCCCAGAGAGTTGGGACAGACCAGCTTCCTGGAGGAGTCTCAGCAGGACTGTAGATGTGGGGGCCTTCAGCGTGTCCCAGGAAAGGACTACGTGGTGATCTGTAGTGGCTTTGTCCCTCCAGGCCCCAGTCCCAGCTAGATGTCATCACTGGAAGGCTCTGCCCTTCTAGAGATGCACAGCTATTAAGATTCTGTCTCTCTGCCTGGGATTTAGCTCAGTGGTTCTGCCTCCTGCCTTGCAAGCGCAAGGTCCTGAGTTCAATCCCCAGTACCAAAAAAAAAAAAAAAAAAGATTCTGTCTCTGTTCTGCTTCCTCCTCCCCATTTCCTTTCCCATTCACAAATCTGCCCCTGGTCAGAGAAAGGTCCAAGTGGGAGTTGGGCCTTGGGGGCTCTGAAACCCACTGGGTCTGCAGGTGTGGGCCATTCTGGGATTTGCACCTACCACACTTCAGACAGGCTTTCACTCAAGCTTATCTGAGAACTTGGGAGCTGGGAGGAGACTTTGGGAGCACATCATCGATCCCAGCCCTAAAGAGAGGGGAACTTCGGAGACTCACTGGCTGCCCCATTGGCCCGTCTGCCATGAGCACCATGCCTCTCAGAGCAGGTGAACTGTTCACATGGGGTATGGTGAGGCTGAGGGCTGAGCTCATTCCTCCAGCCCCAGGCAGCTGCTGCATTTGAGGCTGGAGTAGGCTAGCTTGGCCTGGTGCCCTATAGGACCCTGCATTGGTGCTCAGTCCAGGGTAGAGATGAGGGTGTTTACCCAGTTTTTGTGTGATGAGAATCATCTCTGGGTGTAGGTACAACCCCAGGGAAGGGAGGAAATTCCCAGGGCCCTGCCAGGGAATTCATTACCACAGGCCTGGGCTTAAGGGATGGAGACATGTGCTTCTGCACCTAGAGTTATGAAAGAGGCATACAGGCAGGTCCTTACCCTGGTGTTCAGGACAGAGAAGCAGCCCAGACCGAGAACCCAGGTCCAATAAGCACAAAGGGCCCTGACAGAGCCCCACCTTTG